TGAAAAGTGGCACTTTGTGAAAAGTCTAAACCGGAAAGTGTCTCTCAATTCAGCGAAGAATTACTAAAAACCGTAAAAATTTTAAAGCGAAAATGCTCCAAAGATGGCAATACACAAAAAAAAACTACTAAATTGAAAGCAGCAAGTCAATCTCAATCTGAAAAAGATTCTCTCATAATTGATGTATATCTTTTCATCACTACCATCTAAGGAGAACGGGTGAAAAAGAGAAAAAGACAAGGAAAAGAAAAGAAAACGGGGTTAATAGCGGTCGGCTGTCACAAAATGAGAAGAATTGGGGAGATCGAATTGGTATCGAAAAGTGGCGATGTTATTGACAAGAATGAGAGGGGAAAAATCGAAATGTTCCCTTTTGAGATCGACAGTCAAACGGTATATCGAAAATTATCGAAAAACTGCGAATCAAAAAATATTGGAATGTTTTCACTTTTTATCTGACTCCAAGGGATAATTTGGCTTTTTTAGAAGGCGAGTGACTTTAAAAAAAACTCCCATAATTTTATTTCTACTTATTTTTGATCCCATTTGTTCGTTCCACATCGAATAGATCAAAATTACGTAAATCTGATAAAATCTATAAGAAGATTACGATAGCTGTACAAATTAGAGTATTTTCCTCGCGAGTAAGTAATTACTCGAGTAAAATTTGCATTTTCTAGCTGGAATCGAACAGGTGAGCTCTGAACTAGGATACAAGATTCCTAACTAGACTGTGTTCCTCGCGAGTAAGTAATTACTCGATTAATCGGCGTTTTTGGTCGAGTAACTACGAGTAATCCTCTTTACACCTCGAGTAAATTGAATATCTTTACATTTCAAGGGATTTCCCACCAAATCAGTTGAACGGTTGAATATCTTTAAAAGGAGTCGTATTTAATGCGGCGCTCGTGATTTTTGCGCCATTTTTTTGGGAGTGGGACAAATGCGACCTTTTTTTTGCGCACCCGGACATTTGCGCACCTTTTTTTCCGCACTTAGCCCATTAGCGCACCTTTTTTCGCGTTTTAAAAAAAGCTCTAAAAAGCTAATATTAACCAATTTCTATTGCAAATGTTGTTTTTCTAGGTAATTTGAGGGTGTAGAATTCAAATTTTGACATAACAGAGCGTGTGGAATTAATTTGAAAGACAAAACGGCTAGATCAAATTACAGAAAATTGTTGATTTTTCCCTTTGTATAACTCCGTCCGTTTGTTTCCACAAGCTCTGATATGTCAAAATTTGAATTCGACACCCTTAAATTACCTAGAAAAACAACATTTGGAATAGAAATTGGTTAATATTAGCTTTTTAGAGCTTTTTTAAAACGCGAAAAAAGATGCGCTAATGGGCTAAGTGCGGAAAAAAAGGTGCGCAAATGTCCGGGTGCGCAAAAAAAAGGTCTCATTTGTACCACTCCCATTTTTTTGCAATAATTTTCGCTAAAAGTACGGTAATTTTTCCTAAGCATGCGTTTTAAAGAAGGCATTATTCGCGAGGAACACACTTTAGTACAAATTACCCATTACTTGGTCCATAAATAGTAACTGTAATCAAAAAAATTAAATGAAGTCTTCCAAAGGATTGATTGAGATGAAAGAGGAAAAGTGCCAAGTTGGAGAATCAAGCGGTAAGGGAGAAAGGTGGAAAAAGACGGGCGTCGTTTTGCCCCCCTTCTGCAATTTTTCCCCAATCACGTTCACTCAAATAAGCTGTTTGGAGAAAAGATAAGAAAACACAAATTGAGGGAGGGAAAAAAAGGGAAAGCTGTAGGGGAAGAGCGTCGGTATTCCATTCAGCGATCAATGCTGTGGCGGTTTGAAGATCGGTACTATGATTTGTTTCTCTTCTGAAAACCTGAAGATATTCAGGTTCGCGGTTAATACATTTTCTAAAAGACACCAAATTTTAGGAAACTACTGTAATCGAGCATTGAGCCTTTCTCTTTGTTCAGCCTAATACATTGGCTAACCCTTGTGATTTATCATCGAATGACACAAAAATTGAGTTAATTAAGTGTAAACTTGCAGTTTACGGTAGTTTTCTGAAAGAGGTACTTTTTAGAGAATGCATTGTCCAAAAAGAAAACATTCTATTCTTTATTTGACACTAACTTTGTTCATAACAAAGCCAATGGTGACTGCACCAAAAAATGTGTGTTTCAATTCCTGAGCTCAAAATACATCCCAAGGAAAAAAAACCACTTGATTTCAACTTGATGAGCGTTCATAGACCAAATTTTCAGAGCTAACGGTTCATAGACCAAATTTTCAAAAACGATCTAAATATGCAAATAGGAGCCAACAAGGAGAAGCTGGTTTTTCGATTGAAAAGGCTAAAATTGGATTGGCATCATTTCGGAGATCAACAAGCAAGATAGGACCAATTTGAAGGAAAAAAAGGAAAATGGCTCAATGAAAATTCCTGGGGAAATGAGGCGAAAAAATTTCTAACAGTCAAATAAAAAAATCTTTTCTTTTTGGGGTAATAGCTTATGAGTCATATAATATTTTGGCGGAATGACGCGTCTTTTGGGAAAGATAATCATCAATTTGAATCCGTAAGAAAACAAGGATGACTAGGTATTTGGGGGAAATGGGGAAAGACGGGGATTCATTAGATGCACATTATAGATTGATTAATATAAGAGAAAAAATTTTTGTTATTTTAATAAAATCTAGCAAGCATTAAACTTCAGAATCAAATTCTAAAAACTAGAGATCCTGGTTGGCAGCTTGGTGAAAACGGAAGAGTTGCGGAAAGAGAGAGAGAGATGGCGGACACTTGAATCAAAGGAGTTGCCCGGGCTGGACTCCCCAGTCATCCCTTTGCCCACCTTCATCCCCTCGAAACACCATCAATTTCCCCGAGATAAGTCCCTGTAGCACCTGAGCACTGGAACCACCCCCGATGGACCGGTTGGATTGTGTGTGAAAAAGTCGAATCACAATGGTACCCATGAAGACCCAAAGGGACACTCGAAGACACGGGAAATGACAAGGGTTTGTACTTGAATTTGTGTAGGTGAGAGCTTTTTCGAGATGAAAGTAGGCTGAGGAATACTTGTGTTCATTCTGAACAAGATGAGAAGTTATCGATGCTGATATCTTTCAAAATTTGCATATGAAGACACAAAAGTATATGGACCAGTCTTTCAAAATTTCCATGTAAAAGATAAAAAATAAAAAATTTTGTAAAAACTAACGACCTGCTGATTAACAAATGGTTTGGAAGTATCCAGAACATTGTGAGATTTCCTTGTCCACAAATTCCTTTTACCCATCCATTTTTGTCCCACTCTCTCCCCTCTCCTCATCTAACCGTGTCTCTCAAAATTTGCATACGAGCACCACAAACAAATACAAATGTATGTGCTTTGGGGAGGGGACTTCTCGATTCATTCGATAAAAGGGAGACACACAAATGTTGTGTCCCTGTTATTTTTGTAGCATTGATCAGTGTGTGAAAGATTTATTGTGTCAGAGATCTACGATTGTGAAAACTACTTTTTCATTTGCAATGCAGAATACGGTCATCTATCCGATAGTTAATCCAAACGGTCCGCCTGAATTTTTACCTATTCCAGAAGCTTTTCATTTCTTTGCTTACCGACGTTAAAAACGGGAAACCCGTAGCCGTACCATCGGCGCACTCGGTGAGGCTGATGACTGAAATTTTTGGATATAATTACCGTATCTTACTATTAGTGTAAAAATACCGGACCTAAAACGTAACAGAATACCGCTGTTTTGTGTAGTGGACAGGGTTACGGTTAGCTCTATTATAAATTACACTAAGTTAGCTCTGTTACAGGAAAGACGGTAGATAACATAGCTCTATTATGCACCATTGGACCAGTACTAGACCTTGGAAAAGTCACACCGAATCGTTAACAGGTGTACAACGGGAAACTCAATTGATATAGAGCTTGCAAAATCCTATCAAACGGTAAAAAGTATTTTTGAAAAAGTTGATATTAAAGGTACCAAAATTGAGTTTTCCGTTGTACACCTGTTAACGATTCGGTGTGACTTTTCTAATCAGTATCTAATCTGTCTAATCAGTAACATAAAAGTCAAGTATCGAGAAAAGGTCACAAAACGCCTCACCCGTTTTGCAAAACCTCAGCAGGCGCAGCTTTAATCCCGATCGCCACCAATAGAACAAAAAACAGACAATTCAATATAATCTTCATTTTTATAAATGCCTGTGCTCGACTTGTTTCGATTAATTCTTTAAATACTTTGGTATGTGGAAATCGACGAGTTTAGAGTATTTTGTGTTGACAACATCCTGGAATAGTGGGACGATTTCCCAAAATGGTTGTTTTGACAATTTTCGCCTGAGAGAGAAACAACTCGTAACTCGTGGAAAGATTGAAAGAAAGGAAAATTGCAGTCTAAATTTGGGAGTGACAAGTGATTGCAAGTGCACAATGACGCAGCTCGGTGTTGCTCTTCATGTGAAATTAATTGCATTTTGAGAGAAATCCGTTTAAGAAGTTAACTTGTTTACCACAAGCTCGATTTTGATCAAAAATCGCCTAAAAGAGTTACATGCAAGACGAAAAAGCAAAACAAAAGCATTAAACCAAGGTACCCGGGCATTTGTTCGCGTGACAACAAATGTCCGGAAATCTTAAACCGAATCTTTCAAATAACGGCTAGGAAGCTGAAAAAATGCAACGTCTACAACATATGCGATACCGTATACAAGACAGCCACTAAAGATATTCAGTTAATGCAGTGTATTTAACGAAAAATTTATACGAAGAATCCAGGTCTCGTCATTTCACTTTCGAAAATTCGAGCAGTTTTATTTTTTTCTCCCAACCCTTTTCACATTAAGAGATGACCATTGAGTTATTGTCCCTTTAGGTGATAACTCTCACAACTTTGTTTCCCTTTGGCAATTTAGAAAACTCTTGACCCTTTCTAATTCCTTTTATTTGTTTCACGCTTTTTGGCAACACTTTTTCATTTCTTTTTTTTAGGCTGACGGATGACGATGATTCTACGAAGAAATGCCTTCCTTTGGGTATCGATTCTTTGGCTACTCGGATGCGCGCAGAATTTGAATGCTGACGAATCGGTTGGACAAACAAAGCCAATAACCATGAATCCGACGATTCTTCGTCTTCTCGAGAAGGTCAACAGCACTTTCATTCGACCCTTTATCGGAAATGGCACTCTGATCGAAATCGTCGAGGGATACCTTCCCGACAGTGTTGGATCGATACCTTCCTTCCGGTCAACGGATTCAGCAAATCAAGCGGCCGCCGTTGCCGCTTCTCCATTTCTCAATACATTGACCAATTTTTTGCCGTCATTGAGGTTCGATTACCTCATTTTATTACTAAACGTTTTCCATTTAGGAAACTCCCTGGGCTCAATCGTGGACAATTTCGAGGCGCTAGCGGTGTCTCCGCCAATTCAGAGTTAAACGCGGCAGTGGACCAATTCACGGCTCCGCTTGTAAGAACCGCGACCAAGAACGGCCAACTGAGCCCTGTTGATCTGGAGCAGCTTTTGAATTCTATCCCAAATCTCTTAGTAAACCTCCCAGGATTTGGGAAGGAGTTTGACATCAACGAGGTAATGCGTTGCTTTATCAACTAATTTATCCAGTCTTCAGCTTGATCCAAAATTTATCAAGAGCTTGCTGAGCGGTCAAGGAATCCTTGGCCTTCCAAGGGAAACAACCGACCCCTTTGTGAAGCTTTTCACGGATAGGATGGTTGACGCAGCTCAGGTTAGTTACTGCTTGGCTAACATTTTCTATATTACATTTTAGTCGGCGCTTGAAGGACGCTCGACTCCGGAAAAAGAAAAATATCTTCCACGCCTTGACAAAATACCAGAAGATATGATTGGAACAGTACTCGGTGGCGGAAATCTTCCCGGATTGTCGGCAGAACAAACTAGGATTGTTAAGGTATCTCCTTTACTTTGGTGACAAAGTTTTTCAATTCAGGAGTACTACATGGAAAAAGGCTTTGCACCAAAACATCAAGCCAATGAGCCAGAAGTCAATGTCTTCAAACAAATGCGTGAACTCCTACCACCTGATTACAACATCAGTCGGCTTTCAAGGGAGGTCATGCAGGTTTGCAGCAACGATATTATTTGTTTACGGAAACTTTAGATGGTAATGAATGGTGATATGCCTGAGATACAAATGCTTCCAGCCGATGTTCAAGTGTATTTGAAGGACAACTTTGAAAGGGTTCTCGAGGTGTTCTCCAAAATTAAGGTATCTTTTGTTTTCTTGATAAATGTAACTTTTAACCATTTTGTAAAAGCTCATGGTACCTATTTAAATAGGATAGAATGTTAAAGTTTAAAATTCAGGGAAATGCTTCCATCGATGGACTGATCAAAAAAATGCCCAACTTTGAGCGACCTGCTTTGAGAACTTTTGATCCATATGACTTGAATGGTGTCAATCATGAACTTCGACTCAAAGAAGCCGATGAAGAAAAGGTGATAACGGGTAGCATTTTTGAAAAATTATTGAATTATTTAGGCTCGAAAAGTTCGACTCTATTCTGCCATTGTCCTCGGAGGAGTTGCGATTGTGACGATCATTGTGTTGGCCTTCCTCTACGTTCACGCCAAGAATCGCATCCCCAACCACACGTCCTGTCATCCTGGCAGTCCTCCGTCAAAGAAAGACAACATTCTGCTTTCTTCGACAAAAATTCACCCTCATGTGCAATGATATTTGTAGCTGTATATTGTGCTAACGTATTATTGTGTTTGCAATTAACCTCAAATTCTTTACATTGTAATTTTGCTAACGTTGTACTTTTGTGCATTGAGTTTTGATTGTATTTTTCCGATCTCACGAGCTCGCATGATTTAAATGAATAAAATTTTGGATTGCACTGTCCTACGCTACCTACAGCTGGAGAGTTTCGAATACACTACATTACCATACACTTTTATACTGTGCGAACCTATGCAATAAATGGGAAGGGCTATCGAGAATATTTTCTTCAATAGATGACTATCTGATATAGATAACTAGATTAAAAACATTTCCTTTTTTAACCTGTTAAATTTAACGTAATGCTTGGGTGTCTGCGTTTCAGTGAAAAGGGTTTGTTTCAGAATTGAGGTTCTACTCTTTCGATGCGGAGGACAATTTTGTTAATTATTATTGGATGCGCGATAACTATTAAAGCAGAGGTATCCTTGTTAAGTTTGATCTTGCAAATGTACTGAATTTGTTGGTTTAGACGAATTTTGAGGATTCGAGATGTCGTTGCGTTTGTCCCAGCACCAAATATTTTGCTTCAAATCAAAGCAGCGAAGAGGCTAATCATCGAAGGTATATTTTTCCATGTAACTCATCTTGTACAGCTACATTTAGGTATTACACAAAGACGGATATTAGCCCGGGGAAATGGTGAGAGCACTTTGTTTAAAATGACTCTATGCTAAATTCCTTTTAGCACTCCATCAGTGGTTGTGCATCCACAAGTGACGGAGATTGTAGATGGAACACATATTGATGCTTTTCTTGCAAATTGTGATTGCCGTTACGAAAGTAGAAACACTGTTATGTTAAAGGTTTGTGGTTTCCTCAATCTCTCATAGTTACCCTTCAGGTTGTTGTAATATTCGTTATGTGTGTCATAGCTGTGCTACTTGCGTATATGGCATTTTTGCTATGCTTGGATCCAATGATCAGGAAGCAGCGCTTTACGGTGCCTTACCGACAACATAATGACGAGGTGAGTCAATAATTTTTAAAGCGTTTGAAGGTTTCATGCTCATCATTTGTACAGCTATTAAAATTTTTTATTTAGCTTGAGGAAAATATCTTCGCGAGAGCTTCCTCTTCTAACGAGACGCCTGATACAGCACCAACACAAATGAGAGCACGAAATCCAAGTTAGTAAATTATTAGTTTAATTTTAAAGTCATCCGGTTTTTGCCAACTTAAACTCTTGTTTCTCTTAAAAGTTCTCTTATAATTCAGATGTGCTTGAGAGAGTCGAAGCCGAACAAAATCGATGGATGCGTAAAGTGGAGGAGCAGCGGAAATCTGTGTTTGATGACCATTCGGTATTAAATTAATTTGTTTGTTTGTGTATATCATTCTTGCTCATTTTGTGCCATATTGTACACATTGTACATTTGCTGTATCTTTTCATCTTCTATTACATAATAAAATATATTATTTATTTTATTTATATGCAGTAAAATGGGGTAATTTATACCTTGAATATTTTGGAACTAGCTCAAGCGATAACTTTTCTAATCTAGGAAATAGGCGGCGTAGCCGATGGTTGTGCGAGGATAAGTGGGATGATTTCTAGTAGGAAATTGTAAGTTTTTCAAATTTCGAAAACTATTTTTCATTTTTAGGGCAAGCGAATTAACAGAAGCAGAGGTCGATACATTGACGACCGACGAGCTTCAACAAGCCTGCATTGCTCTTCTTCAACATGCAAAGGTATACTTTGATTGCTTTGATGGTAAAATGTCCCTCTTACAATTAGGTACTTGAACGAGACGTGGATGGTTTCAGAAATGACGCGCAAAGGCTACGACAAGAAAGGAATGTTTTGCGAGAAAAGGTTTGCGAGTCAAAAACTAGCCATATTTTGGTAATTGTCAGGTTGATGAGCTAACTGACAGCCTCGAGGTGTCTGATGCGGATAGAAAGCGATTGGTGGACGAACTTGATGCAGCAAAACTACAAATGAGTACGCTTTGTCACAGATTATGTAACCTTGGTTGTGTTTTAGGTGAATTTAAAAAGTCCGAAGCAAACCGTGTTTGCGCTAGCCCGTTACCAAAACAAATCGACACTCACATACAGCGGTTTGGAACTATTGTTAATGGCCAAAGAGCATACCTATTTTTCCTAATAGTATGACATGCCCAGAGAAGCGTCGCGTAGTAGTTATTTTTTCCGCACTAAATCATTTTTCTCGCGAAACTCTGGGCTGATTTTGTTTGGGTTTTTCCAAAGAATAGAGAAACGAGACAGCCAGTTTTTAGAAAAATCCGAACAAAATCGGTTCAGAGGTTCGCGAGAAAAAATTATTTACTGCGGGAGAAACAACGACTACGCGATACTCTGGGCATGTCATACTATTAGAAAAATACGGCGTTTTCATTAATAAATGCTTAATCTATGTTTTAGCTCTACAATACCAGCCGAACATAGCACAAATAATCGAAAGCGGCAACAAACCGATGGCCTGGAACGCGTCAGTTCTCCCAGTTCGACCTCCTCGAATAAAGTACGTTTCATCTGACGTCGAGTAATTTTTTTATGGCTTTAGATTAACGGACGACAAAAATATCGTAAGTCTTTGATGCCACAATGGGATGATCTTGAGTGAGTAATTTATCGCTGTATTTGCACTGATAGTCTTTTCAGAATGGGAAGTTCTTCACCAGTTCCTCCGCCACCCCCACCTCCGCCCCTTCCTTTGTTGCCGCCTCTCAATGTACCGCCTCCGATACCTGGATCTGATCAGGTACATTGATTTTTTTTAAATTTCATGGAAGTATTTTAGTGGATAGCACCGCCACCACCGCCACCAGCACTCAATTTCCAAGATAACAATGGTGCTGGCCCACGAACACCACCTCAATCAGAAAAAGTAGTCTAGAGTGTTGCGACTCGCATATCGATTTTTTTTAGCCGCCTTGGATGATGGCGCCTCCATTAAACAGTTATCAACCGAGTTCCTTGACGGGACCATCACCCTCCGCTCCATACACGATGGTGCCACCACAGTTCAGTGGAATTCAACCAACTGGCGGAGGGATGTCAATACCGCCACCTTCTCTTCAATTTGGGATGCGACAAAATCCGAATAACATGCAAAGACGGTCATTTAATGAGGTAAATTAGCTTTTTGATTCTTTCGTATATCTGAAACCGTTTACACTCACCACGTTTGATCAGTTTAGAGCCCACAGCTAGGAAACTCGGCCCAGCGAAGTCAGTCGCGCTTCAATCAATCAGGGAAATTTCAAATGGAACCAAAGGTTTTTTTTACTTTGCTATTCTATACAAACTTTGCTTTACTGAGGAATTTCATTAATAAATTAAACTAGTAATGAATGACACATTTATCTTTGTTGTCTTTGTTTAGAATATAAATTTCAGGATAGGGCGCGTGCGCCTGGTATACCTTTACTATGTGGGAAAATTGTGGGCCCCACGACTTTAACAAGTTTGTTTGACCGCATCGAGCAATGAGTAAACATAAAGAATATAGGAAATGATTCAATGATGGTGGCAGATCGATTACGTGGATTGACTACAAATTTGGATCAAAATCTCTTGTGGAAAAACACACATTATCACAAGGTAAAATATTCTTGCAGCTAAATAACCAGAAAGAATTTAGTGTTATTGTAAACCGTGTGGTGCGAAAAATTTGGATTCACCTGCAGAAGTGATTGCGCATGCGCTCAGTCAAGGCCATATAGATAAGGTTGTTTATTTTTTGTTTGTTTCAGCTAATTGAAGAAGTTTAGATATATTCAATAAATACGGGAATTTCTTCGGAAGACTTCGACTACTGGATGAAAGTGTTAGAGAAATCGCAGGCAATAGAAAGTTTCAACTCGTCGTTGGGAAACAACTCTCATGCTGCCACTGCAAGTCTCGATTGTTAACTAGCTAACTATTCTCACCATAGTCTTTTGAGTTTAACCTATTAGTAATTTTTTTCTGATATTTTACTGTGATGGCCTGAACTTTGGAATCTTTTGTAGCGTTGTATTTCTTTAGGGCGCTCACTTGTATGTCCAATCCGAATCATGATCTCCTTATTCCTTATTTGTATGGTTGAAAGTAGTGGTGATTTTTCTAGTAACCCTTATTCTTATCTTTTGTACTCGGGTACGAAAAGGGCTCTCATTTATCCGAAATCTTAATTTTCGATTATCATTTGTGTATACATATTTTTTTCAACTTATTAAGCATGATTTTTTTATACTATGTTTTTGGTTTGCCCTTGCGTCTTCTGTACAGGTTTAGTTTTTAGATCAGCATTTAATCTGACTCTCCAAAGCTTGTGAATTATCTCTAACATATTTCGATGTGAATAAAGCATCAGCTAAAACTTTATGCATTTTTGGGTAATAAAGCCTTCATACATTAATGAAAAAGAAGATTGAAAGCGCAGTCCAAAAACACAAACAGCGCTCGCATTTTCGAAATGGAAACGTTACGCCGTTTTTTCGCCGACATGGGAAGGCTTGCGTGTTACGCATAATATCAAGAAATAATTCGTTAAATCATTTGTCACTTTTCCAAATCATTTTTGCATACAGATCGAAATTGGTGTGATTAATCAACATGGTGGAAATAGAATGCACAAAAAATTGATAATGATTCCAATATTTACCCACCATATTGCTGATTAGCCTTAATAAAATTATTTGCTTTATTAAATTCCTCTTTCCTTTCCTTAGATTTATGGTTTGCCTTTGTTGTGCTTTGAAACCTGCGTACCTATGGTCATTTCCTTTTTATAGATATAATTTTTTATAGGCATATATGGATGGGAAATCGTCACCGGCTCCGTCATTCTCTCCTTACGTCGAAGCGTCAGTAAGCGTTCCAACCGAAAGAAGAAAGAGCAGCAGCAAAGGGCCAAAAAGCCCCATGGAGGTAATTATTCGATTTCAATTTATTATTATTTTTAGCGACCACCGATTGATTTTTACGTGCTCTCGCACGGAGATCTCATAGAGCAAGCCGAAGAGTATCGCAAGAAGTACAAGAAGCTGACTGTCGAATTGAATCGAATCCGTGACGAACGAAACTTTTTGAGGGACAAGGTATGCTTTCAAAGATCTTGGTTTTAATATTTAAATGAACGTTGTAATAAATAAAGTTTGTAAAGTTGCAGTAATTGCTTTGATTTAGTATGTGACGCATAAGTCCGAGAGGGCACAATGGGATCATGAGAAGACGGAATGGCTAGAACGAGCCAGCGAATGGGACAGGGTGAACAAAGAGAAAAATGGAAAGCAGTTGGAGAAAATTTCGTTTTTGGAGGAGCGGGTAATTCGTTGTCCTATGAAATGAAAGAATCCATTGTATTTAGAATAAAGCGCTCATAAAAAAACTGCAAGAAAAAGATGAAACTCAGAAAGCGGCCGACGATAGAGTGGTAAAATTTTTGCAAGAGTTCGTCAAATGGTTACTATTTTCAGCGAGAACTCGAGAAAGACATCGAAGACATTCTCAAATGTAATAAATCAACGTCTGAATACAAGTTGCCTCACGTTTTTCGACGAAGGGTTTTTTCAAAATTTTGCTTTTGGGTTTATTACAAGGGAATATAGATTTTGGAGCAAGCGGAAAAGATAAGTTATCATGAGCTGCAGAACTCACTGCTTTTGCAACAACTGGAAGACAATCAATTCGAAATACGAGAAATGCAACGGGTTCAAAAGGTGACTCTTATTATTCACAAGAAGAATTCTTTGTTTTTTAGAGAAGTCTCAATGTGGTGAACGGTGTTGGTAAAAGTGAAGAGGTTTCAAGCAGATCACCGGCTGAGAAGAAGACTACAAAAACTGCCACCTCGGTCTCAAAAAAATCGAATAGATCTGTGTATGTATGATATTTCAATTTCAAAACATTTGCTCTCTTTTAGCTCACAAAAGCAACCCAAGAACGAGGACAATGGCGAATATTCACGTGAGATGAACGATCGTAGTCGTTATACGCCTATCGGAGATGATTGTAAAAGTGGCTCGCCTGAAGCCTTCCAAAAAGTGATTACGTCAAGCAAATGCAGTAAAAGGCCTGCTCAAGAAGCTATGAGAAAAGCAAATAGTGGAAAGAGGTCGCTTACACTTTGTCGTTTATTATTGAAATTCCTTTAGACATCTGCCGCAATTTGAGCAATTCCCCGAGGGACCCCTTTCTTGGGATTCCTGGGATGGAAACCGTGGAATGATTGAGCGAGGTAATTCGGAGACTCGTCATGGGCAAAGAAGTGCCGCGGGAATTCGACCATCTATGAATTCTGTCAATGAAACCCGGTTTGATCGTCCCCCGTCTAATGAATCATATTGTGGGTCGTTTTCTCCCTTCAATAGGTATAGGTATATGGAATCTTTTTCAGACTTCACTTCACAACCGACCAGTTCACGGGTACAACCACCTGCTGTCTCTGAACCGCCATCTTACCTTCCTATTAATCCAGGCTCCAAGCAAGATTTGGAGCGAGGGTACTTTAACCCCAACAGATCGAGGTTTGTTAGATTTTGAGCTCATTTTAATTATTTTAGCTGTTCATTGCTAATTTTTGGCTTTTAGTTACAGCAACGAGTCTGATGTATGGCTCGGCCAAAGGGATCGCCATAGAAGCGGGGTGAATGACGCTTACGATTGGGATGTCCGCAGGTCTGGCTACAACGGCCCTACATTCAATCCTGAGCGGTCTCAGTTTTTCTGAAGTTCCATATCTATATTTGATATTTGTATAGATAATTGTATGTTTAAAGATAAGCTAGCTGAAAGGAAACCTCTACGTCGAAGATTATTTTCTAATTTGCCTTGATTTTATCGGGTATAAATGCCGGTTAATTTTTTTGGTGCAATACCAGTTTTCCTGTTAGATTTCATTGTGGTGCATTTAAATGTCTCTTATTGTTCCTGATTTGTTCAGTTAATAAACTCGTGCTGAAGGATCATCGAAATGGCAGCGAAATAGGTCTGAATCACTGTAAAATGGGAATTTTCGTTTTTCGATTACCTAACTCCAGCACCACTAAAATGAATTAACAACTGGTTGACTGATGCCAATAATGGCGCATGAGATATCTGGAATTAAATCTTATTTATTGTGAAAACTTCATTGACTAGTTTGACCATAGGTTTTGAAATAAAGGAAGTGAACAAGTGACAAATAAAGAGGAATCACCTTGTGTACATTGATTCAAACTGAGGAAAAATTCAAACACATACACATTGATGTACATTAAAGGCACTTTATGTGGACAAATAAATTCTTAATTCAGCAGAGTAGCAGAGTAAAAGTAACACGAAATACATTCTATCCAATGCGGCCGCAAGCATTGCAACGACGATGGATTGAACAAGGAACACAGCACAAGAAAAGTAATCCAAATGGGAATGTGAAGATGGCCAAAATCACGAGGCAAACCAAGCAGCACACATCCGTCTCACGAATCACCTAGAATTAAATGCATTCGTCAGAAAAATGTCCACTATCCGCAACTCACCACGCCATGTGGGCAATGAGCGCAACGAAGCATCGGGACATCACCGCGAACGGCTTGCACAATAACAGGGTTTGATGGTGGAACAGCATAATATCCTAAAGGTAAATAATAGAATTTACAGCAAAGAAAAAGTACCAGAAGCATTTATTGGCATAGGTGCTGGCATATGCTGTGGATACGGTTGTGCCTGAAAAAAAATGTCATGAGTATTTGAGACTTTTAGTTACCGGATACGGAGGCTTTGGATATGCAGGATTCGAAGCATTTTGTTGATAAGGCATTGGATGCGAAGGATAGCTCATTGCAGTCTAAAAAGCTTAAGTCCAAATTGCGAAAGTGTAACATACGTGATAATCTGGTGGTGGTTCTTGGAAAGACGCAATATCGGCATTAGTTTGCGGATTTGGAGCACGCTAAATTGATATTTTTGTAAAGAATAATTCTTTAAACTTTTAAGGGAAGCAAAAAACTTGAAACGCACTTGCAGCTCAGCTGACACAGGTGAGGAAAAGTGTTGAGGTTGTGCTGAAGAAGAGCTAAAAGAAAAATAAGAATTCCCAAAAATTTCACAAACCTTTGCTCAGAAGGAGGAGCCGTTGGGTCAGATTTACCCATCTTATCCTGAAGAAATTCGTTTGTAAGAATACTTTCATCACGTGACCAGGCACAAAATATGCGTAAATTGAATTGAAATACACCAGACACAAACCAATAGGAATAGAAATTGGACCAATAGGAAAAAAATAATTTATTAATAAAACATTACAAATTGAAACAACAAACTTCACTTGAGCCTCGTACATTCTGAGCAACCTTTTTCACATACAAATTAGCGAAATCTCAAAAACAAAAAGAAAAAACAACTATATTCCTATTCTAAATCTGCTTCCTAAAAATTTAGCACATGCAAAACTTTTTAACCGTGAGACTTATGTTGTTGACATGGTGACTTTGTGTGCTCTCACTGGTAGAATGACAGGCATATCATCAGGGACAGTAACAGCGTGCATCTAAAAACAGTTTTTCATCTTTAACTTAAAAATAAAAACCTCGCCACGGAACCGGTATCGAATATGAAGCACTTTTGGATCACAGGGACATGGATCATAGAAACCCGGCATTTGTGACTAAACACATTTAGTAAAATTGATGATTTCAAAAACCGACTTTATTCAACGAATGAATGCGCAGCTGGGAGTCATTGACCATTGCCTGTAGTGGTACAGTAACGTCGATCGAGCGATCACCAGCCACTGGATAAGCATTAGAGGATTCAGGAGAACAGGCTCCATATCTAAAAAAACGTTCTTTAAATTCCCCAAGAATAAAACAAGAGACCTACCTTCCTTCAACAATGATAACACCATTTTTGGACTCTTCTTCTCGCTTGATGCGCTCAGCAGTGTTCCTCATCAAGCTGATTATCTGAAAGAAACTGTATTGCAGAATTTTCAAATTCTCCAACTCGCTGGCTTTCTTCTTGTTTGGCAATGTCGATTTCTCGATCTTGAGTGTGATCATCAAACACCGAAACTATTCGTTCCCAGATTGGTCGAAAGATTACTTTGCATAACTAAACCTTGCAAACTATGGTAAGCATGTGTCGTTACAATAGCGTTACAAATATAACGAAAACTACCTGAAAAGTCACAACAGGCAAAATCACACCGTACAGGGTTGAGCGAGCTATTTCTTCTTTGTCATCACATATTGCAACATGCCATTCGAAAATTGAATGACCCGTCTTTACTCTAAAGAGATGAAGGTTACATTAAAACTCAATAACATTCACTTGAACTTTGCAATTAGCAAACAAGATGGGAAAGCAAAGTTGAGTCCCAACCCAATCCGTGAATAGCGAGAAAGTTTCCTTTCGAGGTTCACCGACGGAGAAAATCCTAATCAAGAAGTAAAAGAGAAGAAAATATGTAGATTTACCGAACATTCCAAATGAACAGGCAAATTCTGTAAACGAATCTCGAAGAGCATCTCGTTTAATGTAGACAACCCTCATATTGGGATTAGCAGGCGCTAACTAAAAAATCTGTAAATATATGTAACTCATTTTTCATATACTGTCAAATTCACTATTGCTTTCGGTAGATTGTTCTCGGTGTGTACAATTGTTGTTGTGATCGCTGATTGAATTGGAGTTAACGCGAGTATAATCGACCCTTGCCATCGGAGTCGTAAACGCATTGAATAAACTAAAATCAAAGTGATAAGAAATCTTGTCTGAAAAGTTCTGCAGAAGCCTAACTAAGAAATGCTCGCCTGTATTGAACCCAACAAAAGTAAATCAAAATAAAGAATTGCTTACTTATTTGTAAAGTTGGCATCGTCACTCCTTGCATATACATGTATTGAAGTGCGGGCTGGATTATGATAGCAGCACGTTGAAAAATTGGTCGCGAAATACGACATTGCCCTGTAATTGCATCGGCAGACAAGGAGACAGTATTCTGAATTTTGGTCGTTTTGCGTAAGTCATGACAACCCGTACTTCCAGATTGAATTTCCCCAAATTTCTTTTCCAAGTAGCAGCTGCACTTCCACCACCTCTGCCATTCTCTGCTTTGACACGACCTTAAGAAAAAAAATTTGAAAAGATTTATTCCCTAACATGTAAAAATTGAAAATGAAGTTTTAAAACTTTTTCTTCTTTTTTGCATCAAACTGACGCTTAATTTCTACTTCATCCCAATAAGCAACAAAGGTATAAGAAATCATAATAACTAGCACACAAACAATGGCGCAAACTCCAGAGTAAAGAGCACTTTGCTCAGTTTTTAGTTTATAGTAACTAGAGAAAAAGAAAAAATGAGCTACATACATCGTAACAAAAGGAACTGTAGAAATTGCGAAAGAAAAGAGAATGAACTTCAGCAAAACGTTCTCAGACTCGGGAAATGATTCATTTTGCTCTTGAGACAAGTCTGGAAAAGATCTTTAAGTTAAGCAGAGCTAGAAAGAAAGCAAGGTAGAAAAAAACCCTCAAGCTGACACATGTTTATGGAAGAAGCACTAACCGATTAATCCAACGCGATCGTTGTTTGTGAGAGGGCAGTCAACGCTCTGTGAAATAGACATTCCCAGCAGTTGCGGAGGGAACCGATCATCCTCTTTTTCGTGCAACATTCCAGCTATTGATGACTTAAGCACAAATGAGCTCTAAACTAATAAATTAATCACTTTTATTAAAAAAAACTACTGTTGGATGAGTCCGTGTGAGCATGATTTCATTATCTCGAAGACGTTGCAGAAACTCATACTCCTTCTTTATGTTCTCTGGGTTTGAGGATCTGAAAAACAGACTTTACGCAAAGCACACCAAACAAACCGTGAGACCAATTCCCAGCCTTGAGCGTCGAGACCTTTGACTCCAAGCTCATCATAGATTGCACGTTTTTTTGGATCCATTAAAGCTAAACGTATTTTTTAAATTAAAATTGAAAGCAACTCACTTTCATGAGCTCTCCGAAGCTGTACAAAAACTTTTTCAGCAGCACGTTTGTCGTCTTCTTCTGTGTGGCGATCAGGATGAAAGATGAGACACCTTCTTCGATAAGACTTTGTTATCTCTTCTGCAAGAGCCTAAAAGTTATCATTAAAAAGATCTATTTTAACGATTACATCACGTGGTACATTGAGAATAGCATAAAAGTCTAGCTCTTCTTCCTCATCTAGTAGCAAATCCTAAAGAACAATCTTCTTTGTAACTACGTAAAATGTAACCTGATCAGCATCACCGGCTAATGAATCACCCGAAGAGATCGACATTTGTCGGATATCTAAAAAAGAAATGTTTAGAACAAGATAGAAGTAAATCAATCCAATAATGAAAGTATGCATTTAGCATTTTTCTATGAAAATATTTTTCGAGTCTGATAGAGAAATAGTAGCACAGCGGTAAGTTTCTAGAAACCATTTGGTAAGGCAAGCTAGCGAATTTCCTCACCAGGTCAAACGCTCTTTTACTATGGACAACGTTTCCTGTGGTAGAGTGAAAGGAGTGGGTTTTGAAAGACAAGCTATTGATTGATACTGTTTCGGAAGCGGTCGTTCAAAACAGTTTTAAACCACAACATTCTTATATTTTGTTCTCTCTTTTATTTTTTAAATAAGAAATCTTTACGGATGCGCACTTGGAGAATTGAGGGGAGCTGAAGTGGATGTTATGGGAGTTTTATAGAAATACGGCCGAAAGTTTTTTTTAATTTAACAAAAGTAAGATTTTAAGTGAGTGGTTAAATACTAGAAAGTAGCGGGTTGCAAGCTTAACAGAAAAAGAGAAAAACTAAGATTTTAATTTTATACCAAAGGCGCGTCCTTAATGTTATTCAACCAGTTGCTTGTGTATTTTTCTTTGTTAAAAAATAACCTACTTTAGACTTTACGGTTTTTCTCGAATCTCGGGGTAGGCTACTTTGCACGAAATTTTTTGTTCAACAGGGTCATTTGCGCAACTCGCCATAACTTTCTTCTAAGTGAACCAGTCTTTATGATTTTGGTTCACTTAGAAGAAAGTTATGGCGAGTTGCGCAAAAAATTTGGCGCAAAGTAGCCTACCCCCGAATCTCTTGAACTTTTTAAACGTGTTGCTCAAATTTCCGTTCTTCTTTAGACTTCTTTAGGTCTTATCGATGTTATAATAGTTTTTATTTTAGATATCTAGCTATCTATACACACAGAGCTTAGCGGTAGCTTAGTGGTATCGGGCCTAAGTAACAAGCAGTGGTCTAGCTATAAGTAAGAAGAATGGTCAAGGAAGAATTCAAAGTAAGTTGTTTGTGGCAGATTGTATTGAAGGTGGTTTTGTTACTAGTTTTGGTGTTGGGTGAATTTCTCTGAAAATTGTAGTCGTCGTAAGCTTTGTGGTAAGATGGAGTGTTTAAGATTTTTGATGTTTATTAATCTAAAAGCTCATGCTCTCCAATTGATAAGATTTAAACTTCTGATTTAGAATGCCGGTCGCATTGCGCATGCCGATGGAATGGAACCGGAACAGTCTCGGAAGGTTTTTATCGGAGGACTTGCTGGTAGTACAGATGAAGAATCGTTGAGGTTTGCTTTATTGAACGTTTTTGATAATTTAACGCTTTTTAAGAAACTTTTATGGACAATGGGGTGAAATCGTTGACTGTGTGGTGATGCGCGATCCCCAGACAAAACGCTCGCGTGGTTTCGGCTTTGTCTCGTACGCAACTATGGCCGAAGTTGATGTTGCAATGGGTATGTATAAAGTAAAGCTTTTTTTTTCGCTTTTTTGAGGTAATGAGAAAGTATTAGGAAATCGGCCTCATGATATTGACGGAAAACGAGTGGATCCGAAAAGGGCAATCCCACGTGAAGACTCATCGAGAGGTGGCTTTTGTTGAGGCCTATCTCCATTAAGCAATTTATTTTAGGCCAAAAACTCCCCACTACAAATCGTTTGTATATCAGCGGAATTCGTGATGGGCATACGGAAGAAAATCTTCGCGAATATTTCACTCAGTACGGAAACGTCGAAAAAGTAAAGATGTTTTTGAAAGCTTTAAATTGTTTGTTGTTTTAGGTTGAGGTCATGCTGGATAAAGCTACTAATAAGCCACGTGGTTTTGCGTTTATCAACTTCGATGATTATGACCCAGTCGATCGTTGTGTGCTCTTGAAAAGTCACACAATTGGCGGCTTCAGATGTGATGTGAAGAAAGGACTTAGCAAAGAAGAAATGGTAAAACGTAGTCAGTTATGTTTATATTTATTCTTTTTAGCAAACGCAAGGTGGTCGGGATCGTTCGGCTCGCGGTGAACGTGCAGGGGGACCACCAAGTGGTGGCGGTCGTGGAGCATCTGGTCGAGGAGGTCGTGGCGGATGGGGAGGAAATGACGGCGGTCGCGGCGGATGGGGAGCAGGAGGCGATGCAGGCGGTGGTCAACGTGGATGGGGTGGACCCGGCGCTGGAGCTGCTGGTGGCTGGGGAGCAGGAGGAAATCGTGGCGGCGGCGCTGGTGGATGGGGAGCTGGCGGAGGATGGAACTCTCAGCCCGGTAAGAAATATTTTTTGTTTTAAGATAAAAAATATTTTTATGAAATCCTTTAAAACGTTTATTCAGATGGAGGTTACGGCGGATCAAGTGGAAATTGGGGAGCGGCACCATCAGCACGTCCTACCAGATACGAGCCACCATCACCATGGGCAGCCAACCCTCAACAAGCAGCTCCGAGTGGATACAGCAGCAGTGGTTATGGGGCTTCTGCAAGTGGATACGGCGACTATAGCGCATCTGGATATGGAGCCTCTGGATCGAGCGGATATGGAACCGGCCAATCGAACTCTGGATCTGGTGGCTACAGTGGTTATGGTGAGATTTTCTTTTTTTATGTCTACTTTTGTTTTAGGAGGAGCTTCTTCGAGCTGGGGACAACCCGATCCATGGAGGCGTTAAGATCTTTTCCCCATTGCGGTTTCTTGTGTATTGTTTTTAACTGCATTCTTAAAAAATATTTGTATTTGATCTATGTACTTTTGTTCGTGTTGACTTATAAAAAAGATACTCATTCGTTGGGCTCTGGTGGTTTTGAATAAATTATTTATAAATTTCATCACTATTTTGGTCGATGTTCGCATAGGACAACATGTATTTATGTACTTGCGCTAATTAGGAAATTTTTCCAGTATAGTTATTTAAAGTTTTAGAATGTACAACGGTATCGGTCTGCAAACCGCTCGTGGGACGGGCACAAATGGCTATGTTCAAGCCAACTTATCGCATATGCTTCTTTCGAGGGTAAGTTCAGTGAAATTTATCGATTTCTGAACTAGAAGCGACTTTACTTGACTTGTTTTAAAATTTTTATTTAGAAGAAAATCGAATACAATGCTGATGCGGATATGGCTAGAAATGAGGCTCAAATCAATAAAAAGCCAAATGAAGATCTTATCGATCACAGCCGTAAACGAGCAATCGAACTGAAATGCACAGAATTCGAGATGCTTATGGAAAACAAGGTTTGATGTGCGGCTAATTATCGCATCAATTGAAGTCTATTAGGGTTTCGATTCGGATGAAATTGAGAAGAAAGTCAACGACTATCGAAAAGTTCTCCTCTCACAACTTGAAAATGGCGAGTTGAATGTTGATGATGAGCTTGACAGCAAAAATACGCACGTCAAGGCTATGAACGCAAAGGTTATATTTTTTCTTAAGTTTGGCTAATATTTTTGTCCTTAGGATGAACGCGATCGTTTTCGTATGGCTTTTGGCATCAAAGACGACTTTATTCCTGGCAGCAGCATGCAGAAGTAAAATTTGAACTAAAACAGTAAACTGTAGTTATTGTAGGATATGATAATAAGATTTTTGAAAAGAAACCCATATCTCTTTAATGAATTAGGCTAATCTCTTTATACTAGTACTTCTTTTAATCAAAGCGAACCATGCTAAATTTTTACTTTTAGCATGAATCCGGCCAAAACGGATCTAGAAGCGGTTGTACAAAGCGATGACAAAACAACCCTGCTCAATCTGAAAGCAAAAAAGAAAGAAGAGCGTCGCTTGAAGAAAAAGGCCAAAAAGGAAAAGGTATTTATACTTTTTTTACCACAAGTTTGTGATTTTAGAGAAAGGCAAAGAGGCAAGCCAGAAAAGCCAAACGAGACGCTAAAAAACGTAAACGAGAGAAATCGCTGAGCCCAAGTTCCGACTCGGGATCAGATTCTGAAAGGTTTGTAACAGTATTTTTGATTTATAGGTTTTTTTTTCAGTTCAAGCGGCTCTGATTCTTCTGATGACAATTCCGACGACAAACCAAGGAAGAAAAGACAAAAAGTGAGGAAAGAAGTCAAAGAGGAGGTCGAATCGGACCATGAAGCTGACGCTAGAAATACAAGGTTGATTTTTTTTGAATATTATGAATAAGCAGCTTGCTGTCCACTTTTGCTTTTAATGGCTCAACCGAAAAAACCATGAATAGGTACCGAATGTATCTTCTCTGGTTCTTTAGGTACTCATCGGACGACCACCATTACAAGGAGACTCGAGAAGTGCATAAGAAATGAATATTGATCTTTTAGGATTTTGTTGTATAATGAAACTTTTTACCGGTTGATAAGAGTATTAATGGGTAATCTGAGAGTTTAAATATAAAATAGCAGTTTTGGGAGAAGGTTTCGCAAAGTGCTTCCTTTCTGCGCTTATTCACAACATTCATTGTTTATTGGTTAGAACTATTTCCTGGGTAATTTTTTCTGATAAGAGACAACTAATGGCAATTGATAGTCTGAATAACTTGTGTGGCAGTTTAGGAAGTTGGATAAGGCATTGGGGTTACTATATCTCTTAATACAGTTTACGTTTAACAATTGTAGGCAATTTTTAAAAATAAAAAACAAACCCTACGCATGCCTGAAAATCACCGTAAAGTTTCATTATACAACAAAACAAAAATCAAAGCTCTAAGGATATTCATTTCTCGGTACTTCTCGCAACTCATTGGATTGCTGTTCCTTTTTAGCTTAATTAAAACATTAAAAAACCCCAGAAACCTACAATCAGTTTTATCAATCATTAACTTTAGGAAACAGGACAATGATCAACGAGACCGCAGTGGAAGTCCAAAAGGAACAGAAACCCGTAAACGAAACCGAAGTCCCCAACGTGACGACAATCGACAATCAAATCAAAGTCTCGAAAGGCGTCGTCGAGGTCGTGATGAGAGTCCAAAACACAGTGATAATCGGAATCAAACAGCAACTCGACGCCGCGAAGTGAGCAAAAGCCCAAAACATCGTAATGAGCGTGACCGAAGTGAAAGCCCTCGTCGACCGAGTCCTAAACGTCGAGATGAACGGGAGAAATCTCCGCGGCGTCGTGAAGTGAGCAAGAGTCCGAAGCGTCACGATAAACGAGAACAGTCTCCACAGCGGCGCGATAGACGTGATCGAAGTGGCAGTCCTCCTCGACGTGATCGAAGTGGCAGTCCTCCTCGACGTGATCGAAGTGGCAGTCCTCCTCGACGTGATCGAAGTGGCAGTCCTCCTCGACCTGATCGAAGTGGCAGTCCTCCTCGACGTGATCGAAGTGGCAGTCCTCCTCGACCTGATCGAAGTGGCAGTCCTCCTCGACGTGATGTCAGTCCTCGCCGACTCTCCAGAGATGATCGAAGTCCTCGAAGACGAGATGGCAGACGCGAACGTCGTGATGACGATGATCGACGTGCTTCGCGTCGTCATGATGATGACCGACGAGAATCACGACGTAATGATGATCGCCGAGAATCACGACGTGATGATGATCGCCGAGAAGCGCATCGAAGTCCGATTCGCCGTGGAGGCTATCGCGAGTCACACCGAAGCCCAGTTCAGCGTCGCCGACATGATTCAAGAGACAGAGCCAGAAGTCGCTCACCCGTCAGGTATTCACAATTATAATTTAAATAAATAATAATTATATCAAATTAGTTCTTCAAGAAACCCTGAATATAAAAGGTCTACTCTAGACACTTCAAAAATGGATAAACCATAATTTTTGAAATTTATTAACTTTATCTCTCAATCCTTACCTTACTGTCAGAATTGGCGGTTCAAAAGCCTTAACTTCTTTACCTCTCAACCTATACCTTAATGTCCAACTTGACCTCAAAGTCTTGGTTTCAAAAGTCTTAAGTGTTCTTGCGGTCTCAAATAACTTTAAAACAAACAAAATTCTAGACGCTCTTCACCAGCACGCCGTGATCGCCGTGATCGAGATCAAAAGGAACGAAGAGTTTCTCGAAGTCCTCGACGTGAGGAACCAAAAGAAAAGGCAAGGGCTAAACGTAGTCCAGAAAAAAGGGTAAGATTTTGAGAATTTTAGTAACTCTGGCAATGAGGTCAAAGCCTGATATTCTCATTTTTTTTTCAGAGACGTTCTCGTTCATCATCATCGTCCGGCAGTGGATCAGGCTCCGATTCCGATTCCAGCGGTTCATCCAGCTCCAGCTCTGCGTCTCGATCAGCAAGAAGTTCAAGCAATGTAAGCCAAAGAGTCTTAAACAAAACATATCCAAATTCTCAGGAAAGTGCGAAAGTCAAGGTTGAGCCGGATTCCGATTAAAAATTCAATTATTGTTGCGTTTTTGTATTTATCTAAACCGGTTCAGTTTTCAGACCGTGGTTGTTCAATTGGTGAATAAATTTTATTGTTGTTGAAATTAAGTGAATAAAGTACTCAGTTATGTGAATAGTTTTCTGGAACAACAAAGTATTTAACTAACAAAGTGTGTTTCTGAAGGTTGACTAACAAAAAAGGATTGGAATAGATCTAGACACGTCGGGTTAGATGACCTACTTTCCGCCGGATGAACTGATTGCTTGTATTCGGCACGAATTGCACGCCGAAGATGAGACTGGTCTTTGTGATAAACTCTTCCCGCCATTGGATCGGTAACTTAAATGGAGTCTATAAAATTTTAAGTCAATAACAATAAAAGTTATCGTGTCCTTGGATACGGTTACTCATTTGAAGTTGCACATACACTTTCGAGTCGTTTTGGATGCATTCAATACTGAATGAAATGCATTGTAGAAGGATCATAATTGACAAGCCAACAAATTCTAGACGAGCCAAATTCGGCGGTGTTCCGTTGGGTTTCCGCACGCATTACGATGAGCACGATGATGAGCAACAATTCTATGTACGGTGTAGACATGGGAAAATTCCGAACAGAACCTAATTCCCTTTCGTTTTTTTGGTCGAATACTTTGAAGTGTTGTCTACAGATAGACATTTTCAGCTTGTAGACAAAATTTCAGAGCAATCGGTCAAGAAACGGACGAGAAAACGAAGTTAGAATTCGGTTCGCCTTGGAATTTTCCCATGTCGAGACTAATAAAAACCACTAAAAAATTCACTTTAGATAGATTTGGTGGACGAGGATGAGCAACTAGGCACGTCATCCATTATTGAACAACGTCTTCGAGCAAGGACACAGGATTCGGATACGGAAAACCAGGTTAGGCAGAGGTCTCAAGACTGTAGTTTTCCGACGTTAGCACGCTTTCCTAAACATCCTAGCCAACAATTCATGGTATTAGCTTGGCTAGTTAAGAATGCGAACTATTTCTGCGGAACCCCCCGTCCTGCTACAAGGCTTGTTTTGACCCTTGCTTGCTCATAAAAATAGTTCCAAGCTGATTTAGTAACACTTTTATTTTGCAGATTTTTTAAGGTGTAAACGCGAGCAGTTAAAAGTGTTTTTTTTGAAAACTGAAATTCGGCACAAGAAAAATCGGCATTCATAACGAACCAAGCTGAAATTTCAGAGGCCGATCGTTCCAATATTCACCTCAACTCTGTTACCAATCGTCGATTCGCCCATCGTGAAAGCGAATCCAACTGAAATGAGGTTAATAAATAAAAATAAGAATAAGATGAAAGTTTCCAGGGAATTGGAGACTTTGCCCGACGAGAATCCGTGGACGATCTTCAGCAAATTCGAAGCATCAGCCGGTCAACGAATGTGCTGTCTTTTGGAGATAATCTACGTTCCGCGAGCGTCCACGGAGCAACGAGTCGAGTTTAAGGTGAGTGCTTTTTGAAAAATGATTCTGAAAATAATTCTCAGCCAATCTTCTTTAGGTTTCCGTTGTGGCGAATGCGAAAATCTGGCAAGTGATCGGTGTTTGCTGTCTCGTATATCATCGAGAAAGTGCCACGATTCTGGGGTAAATTTTTTTTGAAGTAAATTCTGTTGACCAAGACCAAAAGTATCGCCGATCATTGAGCATTACTCAATTTTCGTAAGTGGCCAGGAAAGTAGATCTAATTAGACCGAATATTTAGCATACAGAAACTGATTTGAATTTCTAGATGTGATCTTTTTTGTCTTTTTCAGTGGTGAACCCTCAGATTATGAGTTGTATATCACCGACGATGGAGAGGTCGAATCCGACTTTCCGCCCCTCGAAACAGCTCGATCGATCGGGGAATTGGGTTTTCGGTTTGATAAAGCAATCCGAATTTTAATTTTCCCCTATTTTTGCAGATCTTTGGCGTTGATCCCGCGGAAAACCGGCGAGAAACAACATCGAGTCACCGTGTGAGAGAATTTGGAACTGAATTCGGATTTTTTTGTTTTTGTCAGGCTAAGTTCGATCTTCAGATATTTCACCACTGGCGAGCAATACGTTTTCGAGTTGGAGCATTTGGGACAGACCATCGGCTGGTTGCGGGAGAAAGCGATCGAGAGGAGATTGCAAGGAATGAACGATGAGGAAAAAGAGCGACTGTATTTGGGTGAGCTGAGCGTTCTGAGAACTTTAAGAGTTCTTAAAATTTTGAAACTTTCATTTTCAACCTATCAAACTTTCTTTTAGTCCCCGAATACACGATCGAGACGGCCAACGGATTCGACGTGAAATTGAACGCCGAGCAAACGATCGAAAGCACGCATTCGATTGATTTCGTGATGTATCGACGAAATAGTGAGTGAGGGGAAGATAAAGAGGACCAAAAAGTCCATATGAGAAAACTAGATTTGATTTTTCCATTGGATTGTTGATAATGTAATCTGAATGATCAAAAACCGATTACATTGTGAACAAGTTCTCGAAATCGACCACAAATTCGTCTTTCATGTTCCCGTGCCAACTACCACCCGCATGGGTTGATCCCTTCTCGTCAACTTCCGCTTCTTTCCCCTCCAAGCGCTCTCCTCACTCCCGATCCCCAATCAGCCGAAATCAAAGAGAGCAAGAAAGGCAGCGTTTTCGGTTAGTTACCTATCAAATTGTAAATTATTTCCATTCAAGAGTTCCCCATCGGTCCAAGTAACTCTTCCTCATCTCCAAATATCTCTCCGCATCTTCCACAAACGTCGTCAATTTTCCTTGAATGGAATGTGGAACGAGTGCACAAATTCAAGCCAAAACACGGGATTACATTGAGTAAGAATTGGATAAATAAAGTTGTTAAGCGAACAAAAATAGGGTTACAAGGCGAGGGTCTCGAGATGAATACACGAGATGAGAGACGGAGATCGATTATGGGACCGACAGTGAGAAAGGTTCGATGAAGCTAATTGTTTTTTATACAAATTAAGTTGGTACTTATCCATTACCGTTTCAAAATTAGCATTTATCCTTTTTTTGTTCCTAACCATATCAATTCTTCAGAACTTCCTCGTTCCATGGGCTCATATCTGCCATGCAAGCTGCCAAATGCAACGAATCAAAGGAAACGGTGGTAAAAGCCTCAAAAATTTAGAACTAAATTTTTAGAGACTGCACCGATCATCCGAATCGAAACCCTCCAACAAATCGAGGAGAAACGCCTTACGAATCGAGAACTGACTCTTGAGGGTATTGTTCAAGTATGAGAAGCTTTGCTTCATTGACACAACAAAGTATTCAGCACCACTCGAGCTCAACTTGGAAGTCGATCAACTTGCAATGTGAAACCATTGAAATGGCTGAAGACATTGTGCGACATCTAGAGGTGGAAATCGTCGAACATCAAACGATTGGATGGAAAGTACGGACCAACATAACCAACGATGCTTTCGGATTTGCAGACGGCTTTCGGGCCGAGACAAACTTTTTCTTTTTGCGCTGATTCCGAATATATAGGTCGTTTGGGGATGGCGTGTTCAGATTTTCGATATTTTTTGATTTAAAAAATGAATGGGAAACGGGGAAAACGTGATTTTTAGGGCGGCGAGTAAGTTCAAAAGCGCCATGTACTGTAAAAGACACAAGAATTCTCTTTTAGGTTTGGCAACACAGTGCTGACGGGGCACGAAAGCCAGTCATGGCCGCAGAATTAGCGCTAATCGAAGAAGATGGACCAATCCCTACGGTATTCTACCAAATGAAACAAGTCATAGTAAATTTCAGCACACAACAAGGTCTGGGAAAAGAAATTTCAAACTCGCGGGGACAATCCGGCGGATGCTCAGTGTACAAAAAGACTAAGCACTTATTTAATGTTTAGGTGTTTGTTATTTTGTTTCTCGTTGTTTGAAAAAATTTTAACTGGGGCAGAAATCACAAAATATTGTTGCAAAAACATTTAACAACACTGAACAATAAACCGAAGTTAAACTTACTCGGCTCTAAAATAATAAATAACATAACTTAAAAAACTTTAAAAACACAAGCCAAGAAAGTTATCTTTGAGTGGCGGCGGCAACTCCACTACGGAAGGTGTTGATAAAAGTCTGACATTGCTCCGGAGTCTTGAATCTCACGAAGAAAGTTTCATCGTCACCTTCTGGCTTTTCGGAAAAATCCTAAATAAATTTCATTAGATTTTATTAAATCCTAATATAAAAAACCCATACCTTGCAATTGAAAACAGCCACATTTGGAGCATTCGTCTTTTCGTTGATGACTAACGTGTGTGTAAGTCTGAAGTTGGCGCACAACTTGTGAACCTAAACAGACATAGATAGAGGTAAAAAGGTGTTTTATCCTTTTAAGTAATTAATATTCAAAAACTCGCCTGTTCGCGGCGCATCACACATCGAAGAAGACCAGTCTCTGGATTTTTCAAAACCTAGAACAAATTGCTGACAAAACTTTCAAAAACAATAAAGCCGACAAAGCACAGATACGGAACATTCAAAAAACGCACTTTCATATCACCCGTTCCTCGTTCAGCTGCTTCCTTTGTCTCTTTGTTATAGCGATAGAGCTTGCAACGTTCCTTGAAGATTATTTCTTCTCCTTCCTCGCCTGTTTTTATCTAAAGAACATACAATTTTTAACTACATTAACGATAAAAAAACCTCAACAAGATCAGGAAGTGGAATGACTGGCTTAAAATCAACATCAGGCTCATATTCCTCATCAGCACCTTTTGATTCATCATCCCCGTTGGTGGGTTTTGCACCCAACGGCTAAAGAGAAAGTATTTTTCTTAAACATTGACCAAACAAACCTGTGCTTTTTTCAATGCACTAAGCGCATCTTTAGCATTTTGAGCAGATTGTCCTTCAAAGATGCTTGTCTTGGGCGTAGAAAACCCAAAGGCATTCGATCCAGAGTTATTGCCAAACATTGATCCAAAAACCTAATCAATACATTATGTTAACAAGGGTGAAACAATCGTTTACATTCTTTTGTTCTGCAGGTTTACTATCGGTTGCAGCCGTTTGACTAGGTGAAGCAGTCGCGGAAGATGTTCCTCCTCCAAACAAAGAGCCAGCAGGCGATGCAGTGCTAGCACTACCTAAAAAGAATTATAATGCAAATGAGCAATTGTGAAAGTACCTCCAAAAAGTGGTTTTTGTCCAGTGGATGCGGCTGCAGGCTTGAAACTGAAAGTGGGAGTCGTCGTCGGTGGATTTGCAGCAGTGGCTGAAGCAAGAGGTGACTGTGCAAGCTGAGACTTTTGCCCAAATGAGAAAGCGATTGGTCTGAAATCAGTCCTTACTAATTTAGCAATTACTGTAATTCTTTCACTAAAACGCCATGCCATTCTATTTTCAATATTCTTTTAGAGTGCCGTTCCATTAGAAGATGATTTTACACTAACTAGGACTATGTAAGACGGTAAAACTAAATATCTTTCAGCTGGTATCAGGGCCGTGTAATTGAAAAAGCGGTCATTCTAATAGAAGGGGTCGTTCTTAGCATTAGAATAATTAGGGTACTTCTTTGTATCATCATTAGCTGCCAGTTTTGCAGCATCCGCAAATGAGAACTTGTTTCCCGTTGGCGTTACGGTTGCTGTGGTGACCGGGACGACTGGTTTGTTGAAAGAAAATGTCATGGTTGGCGTTTCGGGCCTAAACACCAGTAATATAAACACAAGAAAAAGTGACTCACTTAGCAGCTTCCGGTTTTTGTCCGAAGGAGAATAATAATGGCTTTTCATCTTTCGTGGCTTCAGCCTTTGCAAATGAAAACGGTGGTTTTGTGGATACATCGACTCCGGCAACGGTCATTGGTGTTCCATTTTCTTTGGATTGGAATGGTGATCCGAATGGAAGTGATTTATTGCCCGTCTCGATCACACTTGTGTTGGAAGCACTTGAAGTCGGGGAGGCTGTAACTTCTCTTGATGAAAGCGATAAGTTTCCGATCGACGGGTCAGCTTTGTTGAGACCAAACGAAAATGGAGATGAAGTCTGCGCCGTCGTTGCAGCCATGGGCCTAAATGCCGTAAGTTTTTTTGCAGTTGCAGGTTGTAACAGACTTTGAAATAACTTGAGTGATTGTCTCAGCGGGCGATCCATCTTTTCCAGTGCCGCAACATTGGCATTTGCTGTCTTTAGCAGGGTTGTTGGCGTAACAGCCTTGGCAATTCCAACTAAAAGTCAACGTAAAATCAATCGTAAATTTTTTGCCCGACAAACCTTCCTTCAGGCTCCTTCCAGTCAAAACCAGTTCTTCTGTCGCCTTGAGATTTAACTTCCTCCTTCTTAATGCCTTGATTTTTTGGGATTTCAATTTCAGTTGTCGATCCAGATGAAGTGGATTTTGCTTCAACCTTAACCTCAGCCTTGATGGAATCTAAAATATTGGGAATATAGCTAGCTGCCAGAGGTCTGAGACTTACTTTTAGCGTTATCAACACATTTCTCAAAGGTTTTCTTGAAGTCGGTAGCTAGTTCTTCTGACGCAAAGCGAGCCGATAGTTGAGTCATGGCAGGTTCTCTGAACATTTTTTCCTGATTACGCAAATTATTATATTGACATACCCATCTGACGCGTCCATGCATACCCAGGTCACAGCTTTTGCATTCTTGGCCATCTTTTCAATCTTCATTGATGCATCAAAACCGTGATTGACGCAGACTTTGAAGACCTGAATGTCTTGTTGTATCCAATAAAACCCGGAAAAGAACATACCTGGTCGCGTCTCATCACTATTCTTTGGCGCCCCGTCTCGGGATTTTCGAGCACTTTCAAGTCACCGGTGCCACGCTCTTTCCACTCCTTATCCATATAACGATAGACTTTGCAACGAGTTTCAAATAGAATCTAAAGTTTATACCAAAATCTTTGCAAATTGTCAAACATACCTTTTCATTCTCCTCGCCAGTCACAACTTTAACAAGTTCAGGTAGAGGAATGACGGGAGCAAAGTCAGCTTCTGGTTCATAGGCCTCAGGATGTTCTCCGCCCTCTTCCTCTTCATCATGGGTAGTCACAGCTGGAGCTTGTGCTAAAACAACAAAAGTATATTTTAATGAAGCGATTGCCAACTTCTCTCAGTAACGGGAGTAGCAGGTCCAAATTTCAGTTGTGCTGGGCTTGGAACTACAGGAACAGTTGGCCTTGCAGTTGGAATAACAGGAGTAACAGGTGTGACGGCTGCCGATCTGGGTAGAGTCAAAGGAGCCGCTGGTGAAGACGCTGGAGCCACGATTGGTGCTGTCTTAATAACAAAATTGAAAGGTATAGACTTTTATTTACCTGAGCGGTCCCTGTAATGACGGTAGTGGGCTTAGGTTGAATTGCAGCTGCCGTAGTCACAGTGGGAAAAGACACCGCTTGCGAAGCCGTAGGGAAAGATGGTTGTGTTGGCATAGGCATAGCCATGCTATTAGCAAGATATGGCATTGAATAGCCTGGTTGGGCCATATTTGGAAGCATTCCAGCGTTTCGCACCAGTAAAGAAGCCATTTGTTGCTGCACAGTCTGAAACAAAAAAAAAATAAAATGTTGATAGAGTGGCAAATACTTGAAGTTGCTGAAGTTGAGCGGCAACCCAAGGGTCAACAGTGGTTTGTTTTTGAGGAGCTGGCGTTGCTGCATCCCCGGAAGTCTTTACACTCAAATTTTCCAACAAGCGCATCATGCGGTCAACCTACAGAAAATTATTTTACTACTTCTTTATTAGAATAACCTCTTTGTCATGTATTTCCATCACATTTCCCATATGTTTATCCTCTCCTCGTTGAATGTCCGACCGAAGTTCGGAGAGTGAAGAGCGCATTTCGACTCGAAGAGACTCCACTTGGGACGAGATGTTTGAGAAATTGGTGATCATATTCTGCTGCATATCCACAACGTTGCTCAACACACGCGTTATCATCTAAATTGAAGTTAATCAACGCTTTACACGAAACATACTTGAAATGGTTGTTCCGGTAGAGACGAATAGGCATTTTGAGAAGCAGATGGAGTATTCATCACGCTAAAGAACTCTTTAAATAAGTCCGCTAAATCCAATTACGTAAAATTGTCAAAGCAAGGTAACAATTAAGCTCAACGAGATCTCGAATAAAATGTCTAGAAAAGACGATGGGCAGAATTTTCATAACAATTTTTATAAAAAGATTTACGAAAGCCAAAAGCGCGAAACGAGTCTTTCGAAACGTAAAGATTCAAGCAACAGTTTCTACGGTAAAAGATCCATGGACTAGACAAACTAAGGTGCAAATTGGCGGCAAAATGTTATAATGCGGTCATTTTTTTTCAAAACCACTTTTTCTGGGTTAGTTTTATGCATAGATTCCGAAAAACACTACGAGAACTTGGGAAAATGCCTTTTAAGCAAAGTTTCGGGGCTCCAAAGTGCGCGCTTCTATAGTGTACTTCACTATAAGGAGCCCAAACGATCGCGGCACTTTTCAAGGCCAAAACTAGAGCCGAAACCATTTTTAACCATTAAATATTCATTTTCTAACTTAAATTGACTGGTAGAGGCAAAAAAAAAAATTGAAAAAAACTTTTTTTGAGCTTTTGACTCATGTGGGGGACTACGTTGAAATTTGAAAAAATTTTTTTTATTTTGCTCCAATTTGTTCAGAAACGTAATCAGTAGGTTAAATTATGCCAGATGGAAGTGTCTTTGGCTTCAAAAAATATTGTGAGAGACCATTTTTAGATCTCTTCCCTGTTTATCCCTCTCTTCACACTAGACTTGTGTTTCGGTTGGCTCTTTTCGGTACGGTTTCGGTTTCGGTTCAACCAAAGTCAACCGAAATCTTTCGGTTCGGTTCGGTTTCGGTTCACCCGAAATGCTGAGTTTCCAACCGAAATCGGTTGACTCAAATTTTTAGCGATTGTAATTTGAAAAGCTAATTAATTTCTTAACAAATTTATCAACAAAAATGCAACAATATAAACATAACAAACGTATATAACAGCATATCTATTCAGAATTATCTTCCGAATCAATTGTAAACCATTCATTATCGCTTTCGCCCTCGGCGCATTCATTTTGTGATAGATCTGCATAGCGGGAATAAGCGGTTCTCCAACCGTAACGTGTTTCTTTACTTGATGGCCATGTGTTTCGCCTAAATCCAATAGCATATAGCATTTAATCATTTTTGGAAAAAATGTGAAACCCCACATGATCTTGGTTAAATGAAATATTGAGAAGTTTAATAGCCGTGTCTTCAGAAATCCGTTGACGACGAGAATTATTTAGCTAAACACCGGCAATACTAAAACAAAATAAATAAAAATTACACAAGTAAAATTTACGAAAACACTTTTTCAGAGCTGATATTTGTATTAGGATTTTTGTAGTAGGCGCCGTCAGGAGTTCTTGTGCTATCCGATATAAGAGTTCAAAATCCATTTGATGATTTTTCCACCATTCGTAAATGTTCGCGTTTGGAGGTGGTCGGGACGTGTCGATTGATTCAAGAAAACGAGTCAATTCTTGCTTAAACAATTCTATAAATACATAAAAATTTGAAAACAATCTGTTTTGTTTGTTGGTTTGTTTGGTTTGTTTTCTTTCGTTTTACAATCGGACCTTTGAAGAACATGGAGAAATCATCAGTTTTAATAACATCTTTTGTGGCCAATTCTTGTGTAATGCTCTCGTGAAGATTCGTTGAGCATAATGAATCTTAAAAAAGATGATCTAGTTTAATTAGTAAACAGCTATAAAATGCTCTAGTTTAATTACTAAACAGCTATAAAATGCTCTAGTTTAATTAATAAATATCTACCATATTTTTTGGACAAAGTCCGTTTCAATATCATTCCATTCAGTATCATCGTAGAATGAACAATCATTGAACAACAAACAATCGGGGGTCAATAAATACAGCAGAGCGAAAGCTCGGAGAATCTATCTGATATATTGAATATATGTCATATCCGATTTAGACTCAACAATAGTTTTAACAATTGCTGCGATGGTACATTTTTTTGACACGTTGGTGCGTTGTTTTTTTGGGATGAGAAAACCGATTTGGACGCCTTCTGACCGATGTTTAGCCCACTCGAACAAGAATTTTTGATTCAAAGTTGTAGAAAAGTATTTAAGGATCATTATGGTACCACATTTGGGGTGGTCCGAACATTTTTGACCGAGCTACAAGCGCGTGAAGCCAGCATACCAGAAAGTAACCCTTTAACACAGTAACACATTACAAGGTTAAATTTTTGTCTCCTGAAATTTAAAACGCTGTAACTCGGTCAAAAATGTTCGAATCAGCCCACATGTGGTACCATAATGGCCCTTAAATACTTTTCTACAAATTTGAATCAAAAATTCTTGACGAAAATTTGTTTGAGTGGGCTAAACATCTGTCAGAAGGCGTCCAAATCGGTTTTCTCATCGCAAAATTGAGATTTCGACATTGAGACGCCTCTGTCGCTATAGATTATTTTTCCAGACGCTTTTTATGAATAAAAAAGAATTACACAAGATAATGGTAGATGACACTCAGACTTTTGCAAGGAATCTGGATTTGAATCGGAAGCGTTCAGATTGATGTGCTCGTCGAAACAATGCCAAAGCGAATGAATATGCCTATCAAAAATGGCGGAAAATCTATTAAATACTAACGTTATCTTTTGTTGAAGTTTATTAGTTAAAATTATAAAATAAAACTGTTAAATCAAGGTGGACCTATCATTTTGTTACGCGGGAGAAATGACGAAGATTATATAGAAATTTCTATAAGCGCAATATCTTCCCGATTAAATATAATTTTGATGCAAATTGACTTAAAACAAAATTTTGAACTTGTTTTTGGTTAAAAGTTGAATTTTTATTCGAAATTTTTATTTTTATTCCTAGTTTTTGGGGCAAAAAAACATGGTGGACCAAAAAACATATAATTTTGTTACGCACTATACTAAGTCTTAGTTTTATCATTGATGTCATTGATGTCCGTTTCATAACACTCTATCTTTTGCTTTGTCAAAATGTTATACATTTTAGTAATCGTTAATTTTTGATTGATTCAACGAAAATCGAGGGCGCTGAGCACACATTTCGCACTTTTAACATAAATTTGCTTTTAAAAAACTGGCTCGTGATCTCAAAAGGTCTAGTCACAATTTAATGGCGCATATAGTTGGCGGGGGGTGGGTGCTGCAAGCTTTCTAGAGATAGCTCACACACATCCCCAACTATGCGTGATTACGGCTAAACGCTCACAAAGCCAAATGTAGACACGCAAATTTGCATACGAAATCGCCAAAAAGCATTGATTCGGCATTACTTTCGAGGTCGAAAAAGTCCGCTTTTAAAATCAAATCTATGTTAAAAACCCGAAATTCGTACTCGGCGCCCTCGATTACCCTCGAAAAATCGAAAAAATAGGTGCTCCCCAACCACCAAAGCACCCAAGCTTTAACATATCAAAAGCTATAAAAACCAATTTGAAAGATAAAACAGATAGGTCAAATTACAGAAAATTTTCGGTTGTTCCCTAACTCCGTCCGTTTAAAGGGTAAGATTTTGAGAATTTTAGTAACTCTGGCAATGAGGTCAAAGCCTGATCTTCTCATTTTTTTTTCAGAGACGTTCTCGTTCATCATCATCGTCCGGCAGTGGATCAGGCTCCGATTCCGATTCCAGCGGTTCATCCAGCTCCAGCTCTGCGTCTCGATCAGCAAGAAGCTCAAGCAATGTAAGCCAAAAAGTCTTAAACAAAACATATCCAAATTCTCAGGAAAGTGCGAAAGTCAAGGTTGAGCTGGATTCCGATTAAAAATTCAATGATTGTTGCGTTTTTGTATTTATCTAAACCGGTTCAGTTTTCAGACTGTGGTTGTTCAATTGGTGAATAAATTTTATTGTTGTTGAAATTAAGTGAATAAAGTACTCAGTTATGTGAATAGTTTTCTGGAACAACAAAGTATTTAACTAACAAAGTGTGTTTCTGAAGGTTGACTAACAAAAAAGGATTGGAATAGATCTAGACACGTCGGGTTAGATGACCTACTTTCCGCCGGATGAACTGATTGCTTGTATTCGGCACGAATTGCACGCCGAAGATGAGACTGGTCTTTGTGATAAACTCTTCCCACCATTGGATCGGTAACTTAAATGGAGTCTATAAAATTTTAAGTCAATAACAATAAAAGTTATCGTGTCCTTGGATACGGTTACTCATTTGAAGTTGCACATACACTTTCGAGTCGTTTTGGGTGCATTCAATACTGAATGAAGTGCATTGTAGAAGGATTGACAGGCCAACAAATTCTAGACGAGCCAAATTCGGCGGTGTTCCGTTGGGTTTCCGCACGCATTACGATGAACACGACGATCAGCAACAATTCTATGTACGGTGTAGACATGGGAAAATCCCGCCGCGAACCTAATTTCCTTTCGTTTTTTTGGTCGGATACTTTGAAGTGTTGTCTACAGATAGACATTTTCAGCTTGTAGACAAAATTTCAGAGTAAGCGGCCAAGAAACGGACGAGAAAACAAAGTTAGAATTCGGTTCGCCTTGGAATTTTCCCATGTCGAGACTAATAAAAACCACTAAAAATTCACTTTAGATAGATTTGGTGGACGAGGATGAGCAACTAGGCACGTCATCCATTATTGAACAACGTCTTCGAGCAAGGACACAGGATTCGGATACGGAAAATCAGGTTGCGCAGAGGTCTCAAGACTGTAGTTTTCCGAAGTTAGCACACTTTCCTAAACATCCTAGCCAACAATTCATGGCATTAGCTTGGCTAGTTAAGAATGCGAATTATTTCTACGGAACCCCCCGTCCTGCTACAAGGCTTGTTTTGACCCTTGTATCGAGCTAATATAAACTAATTTCCTTGCTCATAAAAATAGTTCCAAGCTGATTTAGTAACACTTTTAATTTACAGATTTTTTAAGGTGTAAACGCGAGCAGTTAAAAGCGTTTTTTTGAAAACTGAAATTCGGCATTCATAACTAACCACGCTGAAATTACAGAGGCCGATCGTTCCAATATTCACCTCAACTCTTACCAATCGTCGATTAGGTGACCGCGATAATAAGTGAACCGACCAAATCAAATTAGTAACTATTGGAGGCTGCGCTTCTATTAAAATAAATAGCTTTTTTCGATTGAAACCTGATTAGTTAATTAAATAATGTTATAACAGCAATTTTTTTAACATAAAATATGATAACAAGACATTATAACCAAGAAAAATGCAAAAGCAAACATAAAGCTAAAGCTTCTTTCTTTTGGACTAATCAAGTATGATAACTTATCCAAGAATGAGGCACATTCAACAAATGAAATTGGGTCGACTAAGCCGGAAAAATTAAGCAAAAGATTTCGAAGGTTTTTTGTCGTTCTCGTTACTCTGCAGCTAACGATCTTCGCGGCAACAAGCCAGATTTGATGTTGTACAAATTTGCTTTTGTCGTATCCAATTCTTGTCGCCACAATAGAGGAACTGCCTCGATGCGCGGACAACGGACAAAAAAATTAAACAATGTCACCTATTGTCTGGGAATCGAAATTGGATCCCGAGCAAACGATCGAAAGCATGCATTCGATTGATTTCGTGATGTATCGACAAAATAGTGAGTGAGGGGAAGATAAAGAGGACCAAAAAGTCCATATGAGAAAACTAGATTTGATTTTTCCATTGGATTGTTGTTAATGTAATCTGAATGATCAAAAACCGATTACATTGTGAACAAGTTCTCGAAATCGACCACAAATTCGTCTTTCATGTTCCCGTGCCAACTACCACCCGCATGGGTTGATCCCTTCTCGTCAACTTCCGCTTCTTTCCCCTCCAAGCGCTCTCCTCACTCCCGATCCCCAATCAGCCGAAATCAAAGAGAGCAAGAAAGGCAGCGTTTTCGGTTAGTTACCTATCAAATTGTAAATTATTTCCATTCAAGAGTTCCCCATCGGTCCAAGTAATTCTTCCTCATCTCCAAATATCTCTCCGCATCTTCCACAAACGTCGTCAATTTTCCTTGAATGGAATGTGGAACGAGTGCACAAATTCAAGCCAAAACACGGGATTACATTGAGTCAGAATTGGATAAATAAAGTTGTTAAGCGAACAAAAATAGGGTTTTAGGTTTGGCAGCACAGTGCTGACGGGGCACGAAAGCCAGTGATGGCTGCAGAATTAGCGCTAATCGAAGAAGATGGACCAATCCCTACGGTATTCTACCAAATGAAACAAGTCATAGTAAATTTCAGCACACAACAAGGTCTGGGAAAAGAAATTTCAAACTCGCGGGGACAATCCGGCGGATGCTCAGTGTACAAAAAGACTACCGTAAATACTGTAATTGAACCCCACCCCTCTAATAGTACCCCCCCGAGGAGATTGATATCGGTTTGGCTGCATGGATACGGGATCGTCGAGCCGAGAAGAAACGAGTGACACGCCGGATTATCTGGAATTAAGCGGTCAATCGATTCGAAAAAGTTGAAATTTCTTTCAAAAAAAGCCATGGCTGGATGGAATCGTTCTTGAGGCGCCACCAACTTTCTTTGAGGGCACCAACAACAACTTGTCAAAAGCTGCCGAGCGAATTTGAGAAGGCCATCGTCGAGCACATTCTGAGGCTGAACAAGACAATCAAAGAAGGCGATTACAAGCACATTGTTGTTTGCGATGAGACGGCGGTTTGGCTGGATGCTTCGACGAGCAAGTGCATCGAAGCGGTTGGAGCCAAAGAAGTTGGTGTTCTCACCCGCGGCTACGACAAGATGAATATATCCGTGATGCTCACTGCTCGCTCCGATGGGAAAAAGTTGCGCTCTTTTGTCGTAGTGCCTCGGAAGGCGATGAACAAAAAAATCGAGACAGTTCCGATCGAAGTTATTGCTCTGTTCGAAACAGAGGAAAAGCAAGTGGTTCGATAATGAGATCACGGCGAAATACTCGCAACGCTCTTTCGGTGGGCTTATCTTTGGTGATTATCTTTAATCTATTGTACTTACTGGCGATGAGAAACGCTCGGATACAGCCAGAAATCGAGGACCTCTTGGAGCCGCTCGAATCGACGGGATTTTACGGACATCGAAGAATTGACGAGCAAGAAAATGATGAATTCATTGATTCGGATGTTTCTATTGATTTAGCTTGTGAGTTGGTTTTGTTTCGTTTTGTCGTTAAATTTTCAAATGGCTAAAACCAATAAAAACTAAAGAAAGTTTGCTTTTAAACAAATTTTTTCGATGTATCCTGATTTGGTAATTCGAATAGTGGTGTAAAATAGTAACCCACCCTCTAATAGTGCCCCACCCTAGAGGGGAGGGAAAAAATAGTACCCCATGAGGTCCAATTACAGTATTTACGGCAAGGATTTATTTAATTTTTAGGTGTTTGTCATCTTGTTTCTGGTTGTTTAAAAAAATTTTAACTGGGGCAGAAATCACAAAATATTGTTGCAAAAACATTTAAGAACACTCAACAGTAAACAGAAGTCAAACTTACTCGGCTCTCTAACATGGGGAACGCCCGTAATAAGAGTGTAGAACTTAGGAAATCATTTAAAAAACACAGGCTAAGAAAGTCATCTTTAATTGGCGGCGGCAACTCCACTACGGAAGGTGTTGATAAAAGTCTGACACTGCTCCGGAGTCTTGAATCTCACGAAGAAAGTTTCATCGTCACCTTCTGGCTTTTCGGAAAAATCCTGAATAAATTTAATTAGATTTCATTAGATTTCATTAAATCCTAATATAAAAAGCCATACCTTGCAATTGAAAACAGCAACATTTGGAGTATTTGGCTTTTCGTTAATGCTGAACGGGTGGATAATTCTGAAGTTGGCACACAACGTGTGAACCTAAACAGACATAGATAGAGGTAAAAAGGTGTTTTATCCTTTTAAGTAATTAATATTCAAAAACTCGCCTGTTCGCGGCGCATCACACATCGAAGAAGACCAGTCTCTGGATTTTTCAAAACCTAGAACAAATTGCTGACAAAACTTTCAAAAACAATAAAGCTGACAAAGCACAGATACGGAACATTCAAAAAACGCACTTTCATATCACCCGTTCCTCGTTCGGCCGTTTCCCTTGTCTCTTTGTTGTAGCGATAGAGCTTGCAACGTTCCTTGAAGATTATTTCTTCTCCTTCCTCGCCTGTTTTTATCTAAAGAACATACAATTTTTAACTACATTAACGATAAAAAAACCTCAACAAGATCAGGAAGTGGAATGACTGGCTTAAAGTCAAAATCAGGCTCATATTCCTCATCAGCACCTTTTGATTCATCATCCCCGTTGGTGGGTTTTGCACCCAACGGCTAAAGAGAAAGTATTTTTCTTAAACATTGACTAAACAAACCTGTGCTTTTTTCAATGCACTAAGCGCATTTTTAGCATTTTGAGCAGATTGTCCTTCAAAGATGCTTGTCTTGGGCGTAGAAAACCCAAAGGCATTCGATCCCGAGTTATTGCCAAACATTGATCCGAAAACCTAATCAATACATTATGTTAACAACGGTGAAACAATCGTTTACATTCTTTTGTTCTGCAGGTTTACTATCGGTTGCAGCCGTTTGACTAGGTGAAGCAGTCGCGGAAGATGTTCCTCCTCCAAACAAAGAGCCAGCAGGCGATGCAGTGCTAGCACTACCTAAAAAGAATTATAATGCAAATGAGCAATTGTGAAAGTACCTCCAAAAAGTGGTTTTTGTCCAGTGGATGCGGCTGCAGGCTTGAAACTGAAAGTGGGAGTCGTCGTCGGTGGATTTGCAGCAGTGGCTGAAGCAAGAGGTGACTGTGCAAGCTGAGACTTTTGCCCAAATGAGAAAGCGATTGGTCTGAAATCAGTCCTTACTAATTTAGCAATTACTGTAATTCTTTCACTAAAACGCCATGCCATTCTATTTTCAATATTCTTTTAGAGTGCCGTTCCATTAGAAGATGATTTTACACTAACTAGGACTATGTAAGACGGTAAAACTAAATATCTTTCAGCTGGTATCAGGGCCGTGTAATTGAAAAAGCAGTCATTCTAATAGAAGGGGTCGTTCTTAGAATTAGAATAATTAGGGTACTTCTTTGTATCATCATTAGCTGCCAGTTTTGCAGCATCCGCAAATGAGAACTTGTTTCCCGTTGGCGTTACGGCTGCTGTGGTGGCCGGGACGACTGGTTTGTTGAAAGAAAATGTCATGGTTGGCGTTTCGGGCCTAAACACCAGTAATATAAACACAAGAAAAATTGACTCACTTAGCAGCTTCCGGTTTTTGTCCGAAGGATAATACTGGCTTTTCATCTTTCGTGGCTTCAGCCTTTGCAAATGAAAACGGTGGTTTTGTGGATACATCGACTCCGGCAACGGTCGTTGGTGTTCCATTTTCTTTGGATTGGAATGGTGATCCGAATGGAAGTGATTTATTGCCCGTCTCGATCACACTTGTGTTGGAAGCACTTGAACTCGGAGAGGCTACAACTTCTCTTGATGAAAGCGATAAGTTTCCGATCGACGGGTCAGCTTTGTTGAGGCCAAACGAAAATGGAGATGAAGTCTGCGCCGTCGTTGCAGCCATGGGCCTAAATGCCGTAAGTTTTTTTGCAGTTGCAGGTTGTAACAGACTTTGAAATAACTTGAGTGATTGTCTCAGCGGGCGATCCATCTTTTCCAGTGCCGCAACATTGGCATTTGCTGTCTTTAGCAGGGTTGTTGGCGTAACAGCCTTGGCAATTCCAACTAAAAGTCAACGTAAAATCAATCGTAAATTTTTTGCCCGACAAACCTTCCTTCAGGCTCCTTCCAGTCAAAACCAGTTCCTCTGTCGCCTTGAGATTTAACTTCCTCCTTCTTAATGCCTTGATTTTTTGGGATTTCAATTTCAGTTGTCGATCTAGATGAAGTGGATTTTGCTTCAACCTTAACCTCAGCCTTGATGGAATCTAAAATATTGGGAATATAGCTAGCTGCCAGAGGTCTGAGACTTACTTTTAGCGTTATCAACACATTTCTCAAAGGTTTTCTTGAAGTCGGTAGCTAGTTCTTCTGACGCAAAGCGAGCCGATAGTTGAGTCATGGCAGGTTCTCTGAACATTTTTTCCTGATTACGCAAATTATTATATTGACATACCCATCTGACGCGTCCATGCATACCCAGGTTACAGCTTTTGCATTCTTGGCCATCTTTTCAATCTTCATTGATGCATCAAAACCGTGATTGACGCAGACTTTGAAGACCTGAATGTCTTGTTGTATCCAATAAATAAAAGCCCGAAAAGAACATACCTGGTCGCGTCTCATCACTATTCTTTGGCGCGCCGTCTCGGGATTTTCGAGCACTTTCAAGTCACCGGTGCCACGCTCTTTCCACTCCTTATCCATATAACGATAGACTTTGCAACGAGTTTCAAATAGAATCTAAAGTTTATACCAAAATCTTTTCAAATTGTCAAACATACCTTTTCATTCTCCTCGCCAGTCACAACTTTAACAAGTTCAGGTAGAGGAATGACGGGAGCAAAGTCAGCTTCTGGTTCATAGGCCTCAGGATGTTCTCCGCCCTCTTCCTCTTCATCATGGGTAGTCACAGCTGGAGCTTGTGCTAAAACAACAAAAGTATATTTTAATGAAGCGATTGCCAACTTCTCTCAGTAACGGGAGTAGCAGGTCCAAATTTCAGTTGTGCTGGGCTTGGAACTACAGGAACAGTTGGCCTTGCAGTTGGAATAACAGGAGTAACAGGTGTGACGGCTGCCGATCTGGGTAGAGTCAAAGGAGCCGCTGGTGAAGACGCTGGAGCCACGATTGGTGCTGTCTTAATAACAAAATTGAAAGGTATAGACTTTTATTTACCTGAGCGGTCCCTGTAATGACGGTAGTGGGCTTAGGTTGAATTGCAGCTGCCGTAGTCACAGTGGGAAAAGCCACCGCTTGCGAAGCCGTAGGGAAAGATGGTTGTGTTGGCATAGGCATAGCCATGCTATTAGCAAGATATGGCATCGAATAGCCTGGTTGGGCCATATTTGGAAGCATTCCAGCGTTTCGCACCAGTAAAGAAGCCATTTGTTGCTGCACAGTCTGTAACAAAAAAAAATAAAATGTTGATAGAGTGGCAAATACTTGAAGTTGCTGAAGTTGAGCGGCAACCCAAGGGTCAACAGTGGTTTGTTTTTGAGGAGCTGGCGTTGCTGCATCCCCGGGAGCCTTTACACTCAAATTTTCCAACAAGCGCATCATGCGGTCAACCTACAGAAAATTATTTTACTACTTCTTTATTAGAAAAACCTCTTTGTCATGTATTTCCATCACATTTCCCATATGTTTATCCTCTCCTCGTTGAATGTCCGACCGAAGTTCGGAGAGTGAAGAGCGCATTTCGACTCGAAGAGACTCCACTTGGGACGAGATGTTTGAGAAATTGGTGATCATATTCTGCTGCATATCCACAACGTTGCTCAACACACGCGTTATCATCTAAATTGAAGTTAATCAACGCTTTACACGAAACATACTTGAAATGGTTGTTCCGGTAGAGACGAATAGGCATTTTGAGAAGCAGATGGAGTATTCATCACGCTAAAGAACTCTTTAAATAATTCCCCGCTAAAATTGGTATAATGCGGTCATTGACGCTCCATTCAAACATAATTCAAAGGTTAGACGTATATTCATTGTCATTAAATTACCAGAACCATGCAAGTGAATGAGGGACGCATTAACTCACAGAATGGGATAAAATGAAAGCATGACAAAATAAAATTATTCACAAGATAATTAGCACAAAATTTCAGAAATGAAGACAGATTAATAAAATGCAGAATATTTGAATGCACAATTATTCCTCATCCGTGGTCACCTTTTCACTCTCAGCCACCTTCCGAGCACCATCCGCTTCGCAAGTGGGAACCTAAATAAGTCAATAGACACGAGAACTTGGCGACACAAAGAATTAGTACTCACCGCTTGAGGCCAGTCACAAACAGATGTCATCTCGTTAAAGAAAGTTCCTTTAGGGCATTCCATTTTGACCAATTCATCCCATACACAACGCCAAAAAACACCACAGTTCTCAGGATCTTGGACGTGGGCGCCATGCTCGTGTCCATTACAGTTAGTGGCGGCTAAAGTTGACAAGATGATAAATGAACATATAGGTAAGTGAATTACCACTATTGTCGTTGGCAAGACTTGAACCACATTCAGGAACGGAGGTAGGATAATCACAAGCTTTCGTGAGGTTGTTGAACAAAAGGCCTGATGGGCAAGAAGGCATTAGGATCGTATGAACACCATCACACTAAAAGAGGATTTACTTGACGCATTTACTCAAAATTAACTCACCCGAATAATGCCATCACATTTCTCAGGGTGACGGTGAATTCCAACTTCTAGGCCAGCACAAAATCCTTTAACTAGTGCTTCTGTTGTAGTTGTTGCAACGATCTAATCCAAATATTTATAAAACTTTAATAAATCTACCTCTGATGTTACTGCGGAGACAAGGTCTTGCGTTGTTGTGGAGGCAGCAAAATCTTCACTTTCCAAAACATTGACATCATTTGATGAATCCTAAATAGTTTGTTAACAATAACTAGCTTTAATAAACTAACATTGGTAACAGCCATGCTCTCGATGTCCTTAGAATAGGAGTCAGCAGTTGTAGTTTGTTGAATTTCCAAAGACGTTGAGTCATCAAGCAAGAAGTCTTTCTAAACCAAACATTTATTTTCCAAATAAACAAAACGTAACGGACCTGAGAGGCATCAGATGAGTATGTGCTGCTTTCAGAGCTTAACGTCGATTTATCAGAAGTAGCCGTCTAAACAAGAGAAGTTAGTTTAATTGTAAGTTTCAGTTCCCGACTAGTTTTTAGCGCTTTAAGTAACCTTATGAATAAAGTCGATTGTTGTTGGTATTCCAGCATCACTTGTCGATTCATCAATACTTGGAATGTATGGTTGACGAATTGATTCTTCCAGCGGTCGGCGATACGGCGGAGGAACCATGGTGGCTGACGCACCAACATCAACGGCCTCTTGAAGCGTTGGGCGATACGGTGGTGGAACCATCGTGGCTGAGGCATCAACATCAACGGGCCCTTGAAGCGTTGGGCGATGCGATAGTGGAACCATGGTGGCTGACGCATCAACATCAACGGCCTTCACAAGCGTTGGGCGATACGGTGGTGGAACCATGATGGCTGACGCACCAACATCAACGGCCTCTTGAAGCGTTGGGCGATGCGATGGCGGAACCATGGTGGCTGACGCATCAACATCAACGGCCTCTTGAAGCGTTGGGCGATGCGATAGTGGAACCATGGTGGCTGACGCATCAACATCAACGGGCTTCTCAAGCGTTGGGCGATACGGTGGTGGAACCATGGTGGCTGAGGCATCAACATCAATGACCTCTTCAAACCTTGGGCGATACGGTGGTGGAACCATGGTGGCTGACGCGTCAACATCAACGGGCTCTTCAAACCTCGGGCGATACGGTGGTAGAACCATGGCGGCTGACGCATCAACATCAACGGGCTCTTCAAGCGTTGGGCGATATGGTGATAGAACGCGAATAGCTGACACATCAGCGGACCCATCACGAACGAGAACCGTGCGATATGATGAAGGAATGTCATGGTTTAGATTTGGGCGATATGGTCGGAGTTTCAAAGCTTCGACTTCAAAATCGGGACGATACTGTTGCGACAATCCGCCATCCGACTGCGCGAATGCTTGGTCGGTTTGAGCATCCTCAAGTGTTGGCAGATATTCGTGGACCATAACATCCTCCTGCACCAAAATATCAGGCTGGGCGAGCTCATCTTCCATGGTCGGCTGATATGGCTGGACCAAACGAGTCGCATCCAAGATGATTGGCTGTTGGACAATTTGAAAACCGTCATACATATTAATCGTCTCGGACGATGGAGTAGCAGCGGACTAAGTCAAAAAAGTATAAACTATACTAAGCTTCATTACCAATGCTGCAGGAACCGAGACGGCGATACTTGGAGAAGCGGTTTGTTTTGCGACTTGAGGAGGAGGAGTAGTTGAATGACTGCAGGAAGGGATCTAAATAATGTTTATTAAGAAAAACGTTGCAAGTGCCTCAGTGGTAGATGGTAGAATTGAAGGAGCGATCACGTTTTCCTGCACAACAGCTTGAGGCGCAATGTAGGAGGTCTAAACAAAAACATAATGCATACAGAAATAATTACGTACTGGCTTAACATTCTGCGTCTGATTCACCGTTGGCACAACCGAATCGCCGCTTATTTTGTTGTACGCTTGCTAAAACAACACATATAAATATAGAAATGGATTTGAAAGTTACCTCGTAAGGTTTGACATAAGCTTGCTGACCGGCTTGTAATCCAACAAAACGATTACCGCGTGTAGGGAGCAATTGGACCAGCATATCATTTGTCACTTGTGGGCGATATGGTTGAATGACGACACCATCCATCATCACTGGCTTGTAGGGTTCCATCACACGAGCATCATTCACCATCCTTGGCACATAAGCTTGACGAGACAACGGACGAACAGGCCGCATCGGCCGTTGACGAATCGATGGCGAAGGCTGAACGATGGGCACTTGTTGGATAATCGGTTGATAGGGTTGAGGTCTTCTCAATTGAGGCAATTGTTGAGCTGGTTGATACGGTCCTTTGAATTGCCAGCCAGAGGCATCACGCCTTGGACGAACAGGGTTCCCGACTTGATCCGCGTTGACAGATTGATGGAGCGCCGCCAGGCCAAGCCAAAGAAGCGTTGAGAGTCGCATGTGGGCGATGTGATGTAGCGCCTTCCTGAAAAAAATCAGATATAGGTAACAAGTGGAACAGAAAAGAAACAAAAAAGGAAGGCGAATATGCAAGTAATTTATTTTCAAGCTGCGACAGCTCCCCCCGACGGGAGAAAACAAAATGAAATTTTGGCCTAGTTTTCTGAGTTTATTCACCAAGGAAGGATGAAAATATATCCAGTCGTTTAATTGAATATTTGTTTAATTCTGCGGTTACGGTTTTTGTCATGGTTTACAGACTCAAACTTTGGAACCAATTGACAAAGTCGAGGGTGGCTACTTTGCGCCAAATTTTTTGCTCAACTAGGTCTTTGGGGTAGGCTAATTTCTGCCATTTTATTTGCGCAACAAGGGTCATTTGCGCAACTTTAGCACCGTAGTAAGCACTCGAGTTTTTTTATCATTATTTTCATTGTTTGAGCTTTTTTATTGTTTTTTTTTCTTCTATTTTTTTACAACATCTTCCAATATTTATCCAAATTAGTCCTTTCTTAGAGATAACAATCATTAGTAAACTATTTTATTGCTATAACAAAAAAAAGATAACAATGAAATTTTAGGACAACAATAACAATCAAACTTTCTTAATATAAGCCAAAAGCTGAGAAAGATGATGTTGCACGAAATCGCAACCGGGTAAGCAATCATTAGAAGTAGCAGTAAAACGTTGCTTTTGTCGAACCAATACAGTTTTTTTCTGTGTGTAGTTTTGTCCAACAGTGAGATAGCCGATGAAAGATTGAAACGGCTGATGATTCGCGTCATTTCTTTGTAAAGTATGAGATGGATCCGGATTCTTGGGTCCCTTCTAAAAAAGCCTGAATTAAAAGATTGGAAAGCTTTCTAGCAAATCTTCAATAAATAGTGAAATCCTTGAGCAGAGTTTTCAATCTGTTGACCAAGAAGTACACGCTTATAAGCATCTCACTTATTCATCTCCTATTTTGCTGACCCACGAAATCCTGGCATATGGTAAAACGTCCCAAATATGATCGTTCGAATGTTTTATAAAACCTTGAGGCAAACATTTTTCAGTCTAGTTTGAAAAAACAATTTTGATTCAGAATTGACATGTAGAGAGTAAATATAAAACTTTTTGGTAGTTCTGGAAGGCAGCTAACATTTTTCCACCATAGTCTACCAGAAATTCGAAAGTTGATTTTTGAGTGAAATTCATCAAAATCGGTCGTCAAAAAAATTGACCAAATCTCTACTTTCACGTTTATGGCGGATACTCGAGTATAATGTTGGCCTAGTGAAAATAAGTGAATTCCAAAAAGATGGCCGTTTCCTGTTGCTAACGAGGGAACTACAACTACTTACCACCTCAGATCGACTCCAAAATTACAGGGGGAAAGATCATCACAAAAGAAGAATTTTCTGAAATTTTTAGCTGCTAAATGCCAGAACTAACTGAAATATAAGGTTTCAAAGTTCAAAGTTCAAAGTAGCTTAAACTTAAACATTTTTGGGACTTGCACGGCACTCTTTAAAGGGAACTCTCACAGGCACTCTCAAAGGTTAGCCGAGTGGCCGAGTGGTTAGGAGCGCGACCTGGTAGTCCGAGTGTCGCTGGTTCGGCTCCACCCTAAAAGTTTTTCTTTTTTGCAAAACTGCATAATGTGCGTTCTATTTTTTTCGCTTTTCAAAGTTTATTCTGATTTTTTTTACCATAAAAGGTCAGGATAACAAAACTTTATTTAAAACTAATAAACAGCAAACAATTCAACAACGGTGGAAAGATTCGACAAAATGAAGGAAGCAGAATATATTCAGACAATAAGCACAACGAATGTACGGCATATTATCGCAATTTATCTTATTACATGCACCAATCAAATCTCCTGGGCAGCAAAAAGTTGCTGGTGTCACATAATGAGGAAGTACATCATCAATATAATGAGCGCTTTTCCAGGCTTCGAGCATACATGGGACAAAACGTGGCGCCCGGAACTGGTGGTAGATCTGACTGATCATCTTCAGGATAGAATCGCGTTGGCTCACTTGGAAGTCGATTTTGGAGGCAATGACGTGTGCGGTCAACTTTTTCACAAACGACTTGAAGAGTCGGAAGAAATGAACATCCAACGGTTGAATCTGCGACGTCGCTCCAGGTGGAATGCGTTTCAAAATGAGCTCCTTGCCAGCTGGGACCATTGCTTGAATAGAGGCTTGATCACGAAATGAAGTCCAGGAGTCGACGAGAAGCATCAGTTTAGATGGCATAGCTGGACAGCAGACGATATCCCGGAACCACTTGGGCATCAGCTCCTTGGTCATGATATGGGACTTGGCTGCCTCCACCATCAAGTTGTCGGTTTGAAAGATCCCTCGTTGTGGAAAACGACTATCTTTCTCCTGCATCACGATAAAGAGTTTGTCACCGAGTCGTCCATCCGCGTAGATCAGGGGCATCATGGTAAACGAGTGAGATGTTGCCGACACACTTTGAACGACGCGGATGACTTTCTTCTCTCCATGGTAGGCTAGGGATCGAGATGAGTGCTGTTCTTTCAAAAAGCCTGATTGATCGGCATTGGCAAGACAGGAGCGTGGGACGACGTTTGCTTGAAGGTCGGCCCTCACATTATTCACAAAGTTGTTGGCCTCACCTTCTATGTCCGCCTTTGCCCGGAAGTTCTTGATCGATGTCCAGTTGGTAACGCGGCGGGAGACGATTCCAGCAATCCTCTTGAAGTTGTTGATCCATTGTGGTGATGCTTTGAACGTGGACACCAAAGAATAGTCTCTGTTCAAGTCGAGTCGGAGCAGAGCTATCAGAGTTGAGTCCAAATTCATCAACGAGCATCTTCAGCACTTTCGAGGCACGAAACATCTTGAAACGTTGAAAGATGCCCACTGCCCAAGACGGAGATTTTATGTACAGGCAGTGTCCCAATTGAAGGGCGATTACGCAATCCGATAGAGAACGCACATTATGTGGTTTTTCAAAAAATTTCTTTTTTCCCCTCAAAGTTTTGTTATCCTGACCTTTTATGGTAAAAAAATCAGAATAAACTTTGAAAAGCGAAAAAAATAGAACGCACATTATGCAGTTTTGCAAAAAAGGAAAACTTTTAGGGTGGAGCCGAACCAGCGACACTCGGACTACCAGGTCGCGCTCCTAACCACTCGGCCACTCGGCTAACCTTTGAGAGTGCCTGTGAGAGTTCCCTTTAAAGAGTGCCGTGCAAGTCCCAAAAATGTTTAAGTTTAAGCTACTTTGAACTTTGAACTTTGAAACCTTATATTTCAGTTAGTTCTGGCATTTAGCAGCTAAAAATTTCAGAAAATTCTTCTTTTGTGATGATCTTTCCCCCCCTGTAATTTTGGAGTCGATCTGAGGTGGTAAGTAGTTGTAGTTCCCTCCCTCGTAAGATAAAAGCTACAGATGGGTATTTTCCCTCAAAAATCCCCGCTTTTCCCGCGTTTTCTGAAATGAACGGCCCCGCAGTGCACTCTGAAATAATATCATAGACACTAAGGAGATCAAAACAAATTATTAGAAATAAAAAGTAAAAGGATTTATGGTGAAATAAAGAAATTAAGAAGTCCCATTACGTGTATGTTTTCATACGGTGATTTTGAGCCTTTGACCATCACATGTCTCATCACAAAAATGCTATTAATTAATAAATTAATAAACAAAAAGTTATAAAAGTATTACTAATCGATTCAGCATAGTCAAAAACCGCTGTGTGCAAGTTTTTGTGGAAAAATTATGATTTTGGGTCAAGTTTCAGACTGCCCCCCCCCAACTACTCTAGCGCCGTTGTCCGTTCGCCCATCGTTAAATTGCCTGAAAAACGAAACTTGCTCATTATTCCAAAGCAGCAAGCAAAGTTAAAAAAAACTGGTGTAGCAGGTGGTGCAGCGGGTGGTGTGGCGGCTGGTTGTGTGGATGGTGGAGCAGCATTGTCGTTTGTAGACTTCGTGCTCTTCTTGTTCGCCATTGTCAAAAGTTGCAAGTAGAAATATGATAAAGTAGTGTTCGTTTCAGTTAAGGATGTCGGATAAATGTGAATTTCTGAGTTTAAATGAAAATTGAATCCACTAAATGAAAATCACGGTTTTTCAACGCGAATTGTTGTGTTAGATGCACCGCGTCACCACTGTCAGATTTATTCGTTCACAAAGAGATAAACATCTATAGTTATGCATATAAAAAGTGATCACAATGTCCGGAAAATACATTTCTGATGCCTGATGGAATCTTTTGGGAATGCTTTGATGACTAGAAGAGAAAAAGAGGATAAGAAAGACTATAATGTGTGCTACATGTTGCTATTGAGTGAATGCATATATGAAATGGCTAATATTCATGTAAATTTCTCCACTAGAGCAGCTATCTAATTTCTGTTTGGTTAGAATGAAAAATCATAATCTTAAAGGGGGTATTAATCGCGGCCGGGTGACCATAAAAATTTTTTTACGCCAACCACCTGTTTTTTTTATTTTAATATCGCTGATTTAATTATAAAAAGAATAAAAATCACCCGGCTAGAGTGATTTGATGGGTTTACAAATTTTTGGAGACGCTGCAAGGCTCGCGTAGTTCATCTACAAGGTAAGTGCGAAAGTAAAGCAAAAGTCAGGCATTATGTTTTCTTTTTGTTTTCTTTAGCCTTTCGATCTACATTTTTGGTTTTTAACATCTCTAGATGCCTTTTTCAAGATGGAGATTTTATTTTTAGATAATGCAAAAGATCATTAAGCTAATCTAGCTTATGGTTTTCTAAATACTCTTGTTTTTTCGAAAGCCAAGAAAACTTATGTTAGGAAACAAAAGAAAACCACAATCGAATGGAAAAAAAGATCTAATTGCGTCAATCAAAGCGCTGAAGATGGGGAGATCCAGTCATTTCTGTTGAGGATGCGCTGGAAATTGACTAAGATAGGAAGCCAATCTGAGAAACTGCTGTACTTGAGCGAAGATGAAAGTGAGCAAGAGGAAGAATTATAGATTAACAACTTATTTGTATTGTTTTTTGTGCTTTTTATTTTGTTTTTAAATTTATCTGCAATTAAAACTCGATCGATCTAGACTGTGCTGAGGTGTCTGAGTGACGATCTTGTTTTTTTCCAAGCCTTGCAACGTCTCCAAAAAGTTGTAAACCCATCAAATCACTCTAGCCGGGTGATTTTTATTCTTTTTATAATTAAATCAGCGATATTAAAATAAAAAAACAGGTGGTTGGCGTAAAAAAAATTTTATGGTCACCCGGCCGCGATTAATACCCCCCCTTTAAAGGGGTACTCCGGCCTAAAAATTGACTTTCAAGAATCGTGGTCATTTATATATATTATTCGATGCGTTTTAGTCTCCTCTACAACTATTTACTAAATAAAAAACAGGGTTTTCAATCGAGAAATAAAGAAAAACACGATTTTTGCTGCCCGCTCCACCCTAAAACATGGATCTTTGGTCAAAAAGTATATAAAGGTTCCGTCCAATTGCATTTTAGCACTTACGTCCTTTTCTTTTGCATGTATTTTCTCAAATTTAACAGCAATCCTAAATATTTTTTTGTTTGTTTTTTTAATAGAAAACATTACATTCTAAAAGATAAAAAGTTGAAAAACGGGTGCCCAATTTAACAATTTTCTTGGGCCGGAGTGCCCCTTTTCTAATCACAGCGGGCAACTTAATACATAGAGGAGTCATGCAAAATGCAAAAGTTAATCGATGGAGTTCGATCGAGTTTTACTCTTGAAAAGATGCGCATGATTGGGGAAACATTCGGTCGCAACTCGACGCCATTCCGATCGAATCGCATCGTTTCCACTGTCGCCCGGAGCACCGCGTTCGGTTCTGAAGTTTGCTATTGAATGCCTTAAATACGGAATGCATGTATAGGATTTTTATCTGTATGGGATTCTAAGATATGCACCGCAATACCGTGATTGTGACATCTACTGTTATCTTGTCCATTTCAAAGCTACTGTTATCTTGTCCATTTCAAACCTCAAATCAATCGCTTCAACAGGTCCATCCTCTGGATGTCCACTCTTCACATGATCAAGATACATGCTTTTCTTGAAGAATTGTGCCCCACACAATGGGCATCCGAATCGTTTCACCGGATAATGCGAAATCGCATGAGAGATCAAGGAGCCAGAGGTGGTGCTCAACAATCGTTGACATTTCTGAAAAATTGATGGGTTATTGAGAGCTAAGGCTCAACCATTGCTATGGCTGTTAGCACCTAGATATTTTTATTTTTATCCTTTCCCACCTGACATCTCGTGTACCCATTAACTCCTCCACGTCCCGATGAAACGCGAGCATGCTGAGCAGCCTGAAACTTTACAACTTTGTAGAAATCCTAGGTATACCCCTATCTCCTTATCCTAGAAAGTATTCAGGCTGAATATTTTTAGTTCAGTTGGAGAAGTTGAAGATATTCAAACATTTGAAGATGCTTTTTTTCCGGCATACTGTAGTAGCACACACTACAGAAAGCCTAATTACAGCCTAACTGACCTTTTGCAATCCAAGCACCGTCTTCACAATGTCTTCAACCGAAGTCGATGCAAGATCTTCATCCGCTAAACGGCTTACTGTATTTGATCTCTTTTACAGTGTCCATACTCTGAACCGGCATAATTGGTGTGATCGTTTGTGAGTCCGCCTGAATGGTCTCTTTCTTCACACATCCACTATTGCTCAACTGCATCAACACCTAAATCAAGTTTCTTACATTGTTTATTATAAGCTAACCTGCGGCAAAGTGGTTGGTGCAGTCAGTGGAGTGATTGTTGAAGTCGATGGAGCGGGTGGGGTTTCTGAAAGATTCTCCTGAATACAGTATCGCTTATTGATCATAATAACGTTGGATTTCTACCGTAATCGTTTCAAGTTGTAAAATCTTTTCAGGTTTGAAAATTCTGTTCTGAAAATACCAAAAATCTCACAACAAACCCTCTCTTGGTGGTTGTGCTTCTTGGATCGACGATTGGTGGCTTTGTGGTTGAATGAGTGTCTCAACATCAACTCCATCTTGCCAACCCTCGGCTCGACTCGAAAATTTCACGTCAGCAAACCCAAATTGACACTAAACCATTGATATTTTTGTGCCAAAAGCTACAACAGCTTATCTACAAGGATATTCAAATGAATAAAATGGATACTCTTCTTAAAATCTCAACTTACAAGCAGTGCATAGAAAGCCGGCACATTGGTGCCTCGGGGTAGACGAATGATTGCGAAATTCGGTTGTACCGGATTGTGCGGAAGCGTGAGCGCTTGAGACAAGCCAACCAGGTCCATTGCACAAGCTGGATTTGAAATTTGAAATAAAAAGATGCAACTTACAAATTCAAACAAAACAATGAAAAGAAATGTCTCTTAAGCCAAATTAACAAAAAAAATGACCGTATCTCTAAAATGACTGACGTGTTTCTATCAACAAATCTTTACTGATCCACCCTGTTCGCCAAATTAACGCCAAAAACTCAAATCTTAAACTTTTCTCAAACACATTTAGCTTTCGAAAATATATTCTTGTTTTCAAAAAAAGAAAATATTTTCCTCGGCTCTAATTTCTTCGGAAAGCAAAAGCAACGAAATCACTTCAAAGCAGCGAAAAGGTGACTAATCTTCAAGTCACCAATTTTCCATTGAAAATACCTATAGTCAGATTGAAAACCTATAGAATAGATAGGCGAATCGATAGTTATTTTAAAATTTTTGCCAAAATCAATCTCATATTGGCTTGAGAAACCGGATTTTCTGAGGGAAAAGGAGTGAGTCATTGGGGTCAGGGAATTCCTGTGGATGTCAATTGCTCGAAATTTTCTAAATACCATTTTAAACTAGCAACAAATTTTTGGTTAGTTCTAAATTCAGTCTTTTAATTTCCCCCTCAAAAAAAAACCCCACCCAAATTCCCTAATCATTCAAAAAGGGTGACTCATTTGGTTAGATAACAAATTTTAGGCTAGAAAAAAGAAATAGTTATAATCGATAAAAAGTCAGCTCAATGTGTGGGGGGAGATGAATAGAAAAATAGAAGAAAAGAAAGGTATTTTTGGATAGAAAAAAAAAGAGAAAAAGATGGACGAGTTGGAAGAGAAAAGGGAATGGAAAGGGGCGGTGACTCATCCCCATCCTGTCCACACATGACACGGGAAAAGTGGGCAAAGGGGCTAAAGAAATAACGGAATTATTGAAAAGTAGAACTGCTGGTGACATTCAGAGCCTAGTTTTCGACCTGATGCTTATCTGATAATTTTACTAGGCAAATTGATGTTTGATATTGTTACTATGGTACATTTTCTGCATTATTCTATGGATTTGATTGTTTCCTCTAAGCCAATCTGCTTTTCTAAAAGGTGACAACTTTCAAAAGATAGTAGTCTCTAGATAGATTAGGATAGAGCCAAGATTATGATAGCTTTCAAAAGTTGATGTTTTAAGAAACTCTAAACTCTTTATTGACTCATTTCAGCAAGGAAATTCCGATAGATCAAAGTGAGGTCAAGGAAAAAAACTTGCAAAATCTATTGGGAGGGTGTGTGAAAAATAGAAAAAGAAATGAAGAGATAGAAAAGAAATAAAGAGAAGAGAAGTGATGACACACCCAAGACCCCATCCTGAATCTCTATTCCAAACTGCAGAACGAAATTTTTTGAGGGGAAAGGGCAAATCCTTGTACTTTATTGAAAAATTATTGCATTACTATAAATTGTGATTGAAAAAGAGATATGCCAAAGGGTTTATAGGTAACGTTAACACTGTAAAATGTGACATCACTGTAAGCTCAAATGTCAAGAGTCTCAAGATAAGCAAGATCTACTGTTGTTAGATTTTTCTTATCATACATGTACATGTACTAAGTACATACAAGTGCTAATTATCATTAGATGTTAGATTGTTTCTTCTTGATATATCAACTTTTAAATGTACATGTAAAAATATGATAAGACAAAATGCAGAAAGTGTCCGTGTCTAGTAATTTAGCTATTTTATAAAGTACTTGTACTCACTTAAATACCTGTATTGTAGTTAGCAGTACCTCTTTGTATTGTAAAGTACATCTTATATTTATGCATTTCAAAGAATACCCAGATTCATTGCTTCTCGTTGACCTGTTGCCGCTGCTTTTAACTCTAAGCACGAGTTTTTTTTGTATATGGTTTAATCTTAGATAAATTAAATCTCTGAATACTTAACTATAAGTTACCTATACCTTAACAAACTAGTCTTTAACTTTGACAAGTTTCTTTCTCCATTACAACCATTTTTTAACCTTTAAATTGTTAAAAACTCACGATCCCAAAGCTTGAGTCCATCCATTTTCTCGAATTTCTCTTTTCCTCAATATCTAAATAACTTTCAATGAATAACTTTCAAGTAAAACTCTACAGTACTCACCAAGAAAAAAAATGAAAAGACGAAGAAAAGAAAAGAATTACTTTCTCAAAAGCAGTAAATCGTTTTCGCGTTTTTTTCTAGCGAAAACGTTAAATTTTGTGCCTCTTTTCGGGTGAAAAAGAAGGTTTTGAAAGGAGGAAAAAGGACTACCCAAAATATGAGTCAGCCCTTCCCCTCTCTCCCCTATCCCCCATCCCGTTTCCCATCTCTTCATTCCTTTAAATGTTTCTCTCATACATCTTTTTCTACTCAAACCTCAAAAGCCTAACTGTATATACTATACAAAATTTGGGTATATAAAACCCCGTTTTGATAAATATCCGTGTTTAAGTTAACCCATCACAGTTAACCCATCACAGTTAACCCATCACAGTTAACCCATCACAGTTAACCCATCACAGTTAACCCATCGCAGTTAACCCATCGCAGTTAACCCATCGCAGTTAACCCATCGCAGTTAACCCATCGCAGTTAACCCATCGCAGTTAACCCATCGCAGTTAACCCATCACAGTTAACCCATCAAAAAGATGAGGGTATAGAGAAAAAGAAATCGAAGAGAAGACAGTTAGATCTAGAGCAAAAAAGAGAAATGTTCGCTAAAATGAAGAAAGTGTCCGTGTTTAGTAACTTAGCTCACTTTTAACTTTTAACTCACAATCAGCATTGACACTTTAAGGAATCAAACCTTACAGTATATATTGAAAGGCCGGAGGGAAAATGATGGAAAAACTGGATGAAATGAGATAAGAGAACTCTGATGGAGGGAGGAAGGCGTCTTCCCCTTCTCCTTCTCCTCTCCACACTTCATTTTCTCTTCTCTCCAATTATGGATGCTGAGTCATTCGCCTCAAAAGCAGATCTCCTTTTTCCCACCTTTTTTCCCTAAATGAGATGAGATTGCCCGGGCAACCAACTGGGAATCAACTCCCAGAAAAGATTTTTGCATCGGGTACAGCGATGATTAATGTTTTAATGTTTTGAGAGAGGGGTTTTGCATGATTTAAACCCATTGAAATGCGTGTTTGGAACAAAAATTGAGATGTAGTGATAAATTTGCGAATCTGCTTATGAATCAACATAGTCTCTAATGATGTAAACAAGCTTTGGCTATGGAAAGACAAACTCATTTGAGATCCGATCACCAAAGCGATCACCATCGTCCCCTAGACCAGATCAGGTTTGTAAGCCAGCCCACTCAGAGCAACCCTACACCATAGTCAAGGTTGTTTCAATCGGTTTCAAAGCCAAGAAAAGTTAGAAAAGCCAGAATCCAGATCCAGGCCAAGACCTGGCTTCTAGCCTAAACTAACCTAGAAAGCTTGGAAAGTTTGGACAGCTCTGACCAAGTAACTTCTGCTCGACTTCAAGCTCGTTTTTCAAACTTCAAAATCATTTTCCAAGGCACTCATCCCAAAAGTCGAATACCTATTTTTGTTTTTGTCTCCAACTTTTCTTCGGGAGGCTTCCACCGTTTCATTTTTTTTCCGTCATCGCGCAAAAAGATGTGAATCATTGACGGAATCTATGGCAACCACCACCATACATTTCATCCCTTCAATCAATCTCTCTTTCAATGTTTTCTTCGATAGCTTTTCAAAAGGAAACTTATTGCTACAAGTATATCAAAACGAGAGTAGACTAGTTAACTCAAGAATCAAGTATGAAGGCTGAAACGTGAATGTTTACAAGTATGGATATAAGGAAGTACTCCAAAAAATTATGTTTCTGGGTTATTTGATTCCATCAAACTATTGAAAACTGATTATTTGGGCCGGTTTAGTTACCCAAATCGCCATATATCGAAAGCAGTGTGCCAGACGCCGATTTTGTTCGGCGAGTGACAAGAAAAGAACGCAAAAAACCAGCACTGTTATTGAAGCTTCTTTATGCATTAATACTTTTTAATAATAGCAATATGAATAATACAGTATTCAACCAACAAAGCTGAATACCTTTCAACAAGTGATTGAAGTGATTGACCGTTCAGCTTCATATTCTTCATATGATTGACCGTTCAGCTTCATATTCTTCATATGATTGACCGTTCAGCTTCATATTCTTATTCGTTGTGAGATATGAGGCATACGGTACCTTTAATCAAATCTTGATAACAAGATATTGTAAGTAAAATAGCTTTTTATTTAAAAATTTTGGTCATTCCTTCCAAAAGGATGGATTTTTAAGTTAGGATATAAAATGACATCTTTAAAAGTAATGATTGTCGATGAGAAATTCGAAAATAGATAAATGAATAGGAAGACTAATCTGAAAATATTCTCATCTTTCTTTTTCTTTTCTCTTCTGAATGCTTTGAGTGGAAAAGGGGGAAAGCTTCAGTGCAATTAGTCGACGACATCTCCTCGTTTCTCTTCTTTTTCTCAATGTGAAAATCCTTTTTTTCCTTCATGACTCATTTCCGAGTGGAAACTCTCCGGGAAATAATAAAGGAAATCGAGTAAAATATGTAAAGGAACAAGTTGGAAAAAGGCTTTTATAGTTGTCGAAAGGTTCAAATATTGTACAGATTTTGATCGGAGATATGATGTGCATTTGATTTGCGTAAGTATAAGAATTTATTTCAACATAACATAAGAGATAGGGGCATGTCATCGCCACTCAAATCGATTTTCTATAAAAAAAATCTTTAACAACGATGAAAAAAATTAATGAAATGGTAAAAGTAGAACTGTTCACAGCAATAAGCACATCTCAAAAACGGCATATGAGAGCAATTCAACTCGAAACATGAACCTGTCAAGTCTCCAGGACAGCAGGATGAGGCGGAAATTTTACAATTAAAAAGGATTGGATCAATGTAACCGGAATTTTTATAAGCCTTCAGAAGACAGGGAACAAAGCGCTTGGCTCGTGGTAGATCTGACTGACCATCTTGAGAATTGAATCGCGTCGGCTCACTTGGAAATCGATTTGAGTGGCGATGACATGCCCCTATCTCTTATGTTATGTTGAAATAAATTCTTATACTTACGCAAACCACATCATATCTACGATCCGAATCGACATTTGTGAAAAACCTTGTTTTTTTCGATAGGTCCTATATACTAACACACTAGGCAATTCCTGCAAACTTTGATAGTAAGTTTTTCTAGTCTAGAGAGCCTATAAAAATCCAAAATTACAAATACTTTGCATCAAAAAACAAAAAGCAAAAAAAGAAGACTTTGCCGAGACTTGAACTTAAGCCAAAAAAGTCAATAGGGGCGAGGGGCTAGCACACTAACCACTAGACCGTTCCTGCACGCTTTGTGGACCTTTGGATTGTGCCTTAAGTACTCTTCGGTTTCTTCGGAATCGGTTTCGCTCTTTCCTCGCTTTCTTAATAAAAACTTAAAAGCTTTATATTTTAATGCTAAACCGAAAACTGCAAAAGAAATTGATAAAAAATTGCAGAGCTAGTTTGGAAACTTTTGTTTCATGCACCTTACCCCCCTCCCCATGCACCGTCAGATTATTTTTATTTCAGACGTTGAAACACTTCTTGGGAGATATACAGTGAATCATGCTCAATTCATAAATAAGATTCACGCCTATTTTCCAAGGAACCGTTTGAATTCGACGATGCGATCCGGGATCTGCGCAGAAGATGGGAAGAAGTCATCGATAAAAATGGAGAATACTTTATCAATTAATCTTATCGATTTGCTGTTTGAGTTTTTTTCAACAAATAGTTTTGATCATTATTTTCTTTACTCCCTAAGAGTAAAAATAAACTCTTTGCTAGACTTATCCCTACAAACCGCATGGACAGCGACCAGTGTATTTCCCGTTTCCACACGACTACACGAATAATCTTTATTAGTAAGTCGTCTGTTGTAATCATTTATATTTAGTTGAAGATATTCAGTCTATTTCTACCGTCACCCGTTTTCTATTTAGCACTATTAATCTAGCTTACTCTATTTATAATAAGCAATAAAACAAGAGTTTTTTTTTTATTTTAGCCATGGCTATGAGTCTCGTGATTAGCGTTTCAAATCGCCAAAAGTGTCACTCGTGCCGAGATCATGCACATCAATGAACTGTGCAATTGTTATCGTAAGGCAAAAGTTTTCCTTTAGCTTTTTCTTGGTTTTGGTAGATCCTGAAAAATGGCAAGTTTTTGAACGTTTACCTAACTTGTATTCTCAACCTGATCGGGAAGAGAAGCTTATTTTTTGATTGAATTTTGAATTTCAACAAAGGTTCAATAGGTTAAAGCCAAATTGAGTCAAACATTCTTCAGCAAAACGCACTTCTTGTGTGCCACTCTTCTGTGCGAACGGCGGATACAAAAATCTGAAAAAAAACTTTCCTTCTAATTAAAAAGTTTTACTGTAAAATCTGACATCGGATTCTGAAAGTAAAGAGAAAAATGGACATGTATAACTTTGTGAATTTAAGAATTTTAGTCATAAGCAAGAAAAAGAACGGGATAAAACAATAAATCTGTGAAAAAGAATCAGCTCCATAATTTTGGGACAGCCTGTACCTTATCTTTGCACATACCTTTATTTAATTTAGTGTTTCGACCGAGTACTTACTCAACAAAACCTACCCTGAAACCATGGCTCGAGTCGTGTTTGCCCTGTTCACTGGTCGAGGAATCTCCGACAAGTGGAATATCGAGCCGATCATTCAGAAAGCGTTAACCGTCTCAAAGTCGTTTCGGGATCATATTCAAGTCGAGGTTAGTGCCAGCAAAGATAAGCTTTATGCAAGCTTCAAGCATTTCAGCTTCTGGTGGGTTTCCGTGATATTTAACGAACACTTGGGCTAATATTTTTGATTTTCGAAGTTTAGTTTTGTAACGGTCCAGGAAATGAGCCTTGCTTTCGTTGTTTTCCTGTTTTCCACTCTCCAAACAATTAGTTTTGGTCTTCATCGTGGTCCGGCTACAAAAATTTCCGGATTCTCCACTCGGCTCCCAAATGGAAATAGATTTCTTTCTCATTTCAAAGAGAAACACAAAATTTATCGCATAAAACAATAATTTCAATTAATCTGACAAAAAAAAGATTTCAAAAGAAAAAATAAACGACGACGCGGTGCTCCTATCGACAACCTTCAACTGGCGGCGACGTTAATTGGAATGCAACGTTGCGCAAAAATTAACATTTAAAATTCGCGACAGAGATTCAAATTTAACATGAAAACGTCTCGAAATCATTCCCTACTGTCTTCACAAATAGCTCTTAGCGCTGAATTGTACTAAACATTTCGGAGAAAATCACAGCTGAACTTCATGGAGCACAGTAAATATGGCTTGAGCGTCTAGGCTTTTAGCTTTGGATAGTTCAATTTCGGTCTATGATATATCATTTGGAAGTCTGAAGTCTTTTCTACAAGACTGTATAAAAAGGAATCAAAAAATATTGCCTCTAGGCAACGTTATAAACCCCAAAAGTGCTATAGTGATTTCTAGTTTCTAGTTCGATTCATTCATCGATGCAAACAACCCGGCGATTCTTGGAGACAACAAGAAGGTTGGCTTTTTCGATTTTCTTTTGTAACAAAATTGATTGAATAGTAAAATTGACTAGATAGAATCATTGTTTGAAATAAAATAAAAAGTAAAATTTTTCATTAGCCGACTTGCCCGCAAGAAACGCCCGACGGAGTGGCGATGCTCTACCATTCTGTGATGAATGGTAAAACATGATGAATGCTTTGTGTTTTGAAGAGACAAGAAAAATAGAATTGACTACATTAATAAAAATGAACGCTAAAAGAGAAGAAAAAAATCTACAAAAACTACAAACAAAACAAAAGAGGTTGATTTTGGCTTTCAAATTTTACCGCTGTACCCAGCTCAAAAGAACACTTTGCGCTCAGAAACAAAAACACCAGAAAATGGCTTTTTCACATTTAAAATTGTTTCACTGTAAACTAGTGATGTTATTAATGGATAATGGAATTTAGGTGACATTGAAGATGGCGTTTTGCAATAGTATAGGGTGACTAATAAATAACCGGAATAACTGTTTACTTACTGCTAGAAAGCATACAGTGTACAGTCTCTGAAACATGGCTGTAGGTGATAGAAATTTTTCAATGTCATTATCCCATTCTTAAAAATACTAACTATGAGAAAAAAACGAGGTATAAATAGAGTTCAGGAAAGAACTTAAAATAAAGAGGTTACTTTGTCTAATGTCTGACTACGCTTTTAGCTTCTACTTTGTCAAATCCTTTTCAACATTTTGCTCAACTGATCCAACGATACCACTAAATTTTATTTTCAAGTTGTTCGTCGTATTGGCAGCCACCAGATGCTCCTCTTCAGTAATCACAAAGTCAAGATAGGCTTCGATTGCGCCATTGAATGGTTTGATGGCATTTTTTTTTCAAAAACACCGCGAATTTGACGCCGTCTCCATGAGCATCGTGTGCCCATCGGTTAGTTGAGCAGATTTTTGTTTTGGTGTAAGATAAATTGATAGGATTTATTTGTCTATATACAATTTTTCCTATTTCTCGTTGATGAGATGGGAGGCCCGGGTGGCGATCTCAGTCATGCTACCCTGAAATGAAAATGTATCGTTCGGAAAACATTCTGAAATAGATTATTCTATTTGATAGCGGAAAACAAACCGAAAACAATTGTGCTTTCACGCCAGCTTGATCAAGAGCCAACCAAGCAAGCGAGGCGCCCAATCCAGTGTTGCACGCGGTCACCGTCGGGGTGTTTTGTTTTAACGTTGACGCGACTAAACGTGTTTTATGATATTCAGTTGAATCTTAGCTGAATATCATTTGCTTACCCTTTTTAATTGCCTCCAGTCCGAGTAATCCTTGCTCATTACAGACAGATCCATTTCCGAAATGGCGGGCCCCTCGGCAGCGATAACCGGTCGAATCTAGGAATGGGCTTATGTCTCTAAATAATGCTATCTTTCTGTCATGTAAAAGAAGCATAGCCAGAGCTTGAAAAATATTCGTACACTAAATTTCAGTTTATAATCTCAAAAACAAAAGATTTCCAAGCTATTCTGCGGAGGGAACCCGAATCTGAAAAGCAAAAAAAAGTGCTGTGACGACCTTGGAAACATCCTCATCAAAAAGTTGTTTAGAATTGCAACTTTTGCATAAGAAAGAGCATAATAGGACAAAAATACTTGCATTTTCAGAATCCGGTGTTAGTTTTTCAAAAATAGCGTGTTTCCCGAGTCAAAAAGTGTCAGAAATTTTGACGCACCCTGTCGAATCGGCTATGGAGCTCTTGACTCATTTTGGCTTTTGCTAAGGCTGGCAAAGTTTGGCTGGTCATTGCATATGGACCAGCCGCTCAAAAAATTCCTAATCCTAATCGAATTTTCGCCCTAAACTTCAATTCGACACATTTTCAAGCAATTCCCCCCAATAACTACTAGAGTGTGTTCCTCTCAAGCAATAGCTTTCTATAACGCGCCCTTGAAAGGCGAGCTTTCAAGATATTCAATATCGTTGACTGAATATCTTGAAATTTTGCCGTTACTAGAAAGCTATTACTTGAGAGAAGCACACTCTAATAACTACTCCCTTACGTGGTCCAACTGTTGCCCCTTTTCCCTCATCGAATTGCTCTTTTGGCCGGCAATCCAAATAATTGATCTAAAAAAATTTGAATAGCTGAATTTCCCCAAATTCAAACCTTATCCAAATGATCGAAAGTGCTTTCTCCTTCCGCATCTTTTTTGTTCAATTCGTCGAAAGTGATGAGTGAATGATTGGCGTTGAACGATTTCACCGTCACATTTCCCTCCTAAACTTTATTAAAATAACTAGATCTATTATTTTATCCAATAATTTCTATATATCTAAAAACTTTACAAATTGTCAGATATTTATTATTTCTAAAAGAACCTGTGTTGGGTGTGTCCATTCGCCGCTTTCCGTCGGTTCTCCAGCGGCCACCCATGCACTCAATCCTCCATTCAGAACGAGCGGTGAAAAGCCATAGAGCTGAAAAAATAATTGTATATCAAGTCAATATAAATATTATATTCGTTATTATGATATCATTTTTGGTACCTGTAGAACAAAAGCGGCTCTCGCAGCAAAAGCCATCCCGGCCATCGGTCCCCGAGCATAAACAATAATCGAATCACCTGAATTTTGTTTAAAGTGAAATCCCAGACACTTGGATTACGGCATCTTTGATAGTAAGTCTTCAAGTCTTTTTTTGGTGGTTTATCTTCTTATCAAGAACGATAAATGTAAAGATGATGAGCAAAATAGATCAAGAGCTCACCTTCATTCACACCAAGGAATCGGAGTAACTTCTGGAAGACGTCAACTGAATAAAAGTCGAAGCGAGTTTGTCTGAAAAGATTTCATTCAAATAGCTACAAATCTCAAATCACTTACTCTCCGGGTGGGCAAAATATTTCCAAACTGAATGGTTGTGCACCAGGGATTCGGCTTTGATCAAAATCGGGATGTTTCTAGAAAAGTTCTTCTACTTTTATGGATTACAAAAGTTTGTAAATGGCTATGCTTACGACATCAATGCTTACGACAAATGCCTATGCTTACGGCAAATGCCTATGCTTACGACATATGTTTATAGCTTAGCTGAAAGGTTAAAAATAGTTATTTTTTCGTATCCCAGTTAGAGAACATTTACTAACTGGGTTAGCCATGCTTTTTTCGATTAAATTTTCAAAGGCTCAAGTAAGAAGGTTTTAAATGAATGAAGTTAGAATTTTCTGAATTTATCTGAATACCGAGTACCAACCTTTGCTTTCGTGAGCGCCTCAAAATTCTCATTATATTTCTCTTTGAATTCTTGGATATTCGGCTTCGGGCACATCACCCATGATGCTTCCAGGAAAACGAGCTTCCCTCCCTGAAGTTAAACAAATGAAATGAAATGAAATTTGTTCAAACCTGCGCTTTCACCTCATTCACAGAGATCACTTTGACCATTTCACTGAAAAAAAAATTGATTTAGTATTCTAAAGAATATATCGCGGTTCTTCAAAACAAAAAAAGTTCCAGAAAAAGGCAAAAAGCAAATAAGAAACCCCACAAAAAGTTCACTTCAATGAAAACCAACAATCGACTGAAAAAAAGCAAAAAAAAGTGATAAGGAAAATCTTTTTGAGAATTTGGAAAAGGAAACGAAAAAACCTATAGTTAAGTTTAGAGCGAACCGTAAATTTTGATTTGAATACACGAATTCGTGGTCAAATTCGTACTCAAGCACAACTTTTACACAATAAATTCAAAAGTTTACTATACTCATTCAAAAGTAGGCAAAGAAATCCGATTTTAAACTAAAATCTGCAAAGTTCAAAGAAGTTTAAGTAAATTTTGGTTTGCGTGCATTTTCCAATGAAATAAGGAAGCGACAAATCAGCGAAAATTTCCAAGTGGTAAATCTTAGATTGGTCACTCCAAAAAGTAGAAACTACGAACCTGCAAATGGGGGAAAAGATCAGAAATTTGGGGAGAATTTAGAGAATTTCAATCGAAAGTGAAAAGAGGGGTTCGTTTTTGAGAAAAATGAAAAAAAATGGAACAAGCAAAGGTTAGAGAAATATAAAAGAAAAGCAAATAATTGAGTTCATTTTGGGAAGGAATCTTAAAGCCGAATATGGCCAATGGGCGATTGTCTCTCGTTATTCTCTCAAAACTCCCAAAAAAAAAGCTGGGTACTTATGGTTCCTTGCGAGTAAGTAACTACTCGATTAGAATTACTTTATTTTTACTCGATTAATCGACATTTTTACCCGAGTAACTACGAGTAATCCTCTTTACACGTCGAGTAAATTGAATATCTTTACATTTGAAAGGAATTCGCCACAAAATATGTTCTCAACAGCTGAATATCTTTAAAAGGAGGAGTATATAACTTGGCGCTCATGATTTTTTCGCTAAAAAGTACGTTAATTTTTCCCAAGTGTGCATTTTAAAAAAATGCATTACACGCGAGGAACACACTCTAATTGTTAGTATTTGTTGTTCTGGAAGTAAATATGGTACTTATCCCCGCAAATTTTATTTGAGATTCAAAGTAGACTATTTGATGGACAATATGATATTTTGTTCAAATGCGGAACCGGGGAGAATCCAAAAATAATTCCCAACTGAATTAGGCTCAAGTACTGTAGAAGAGCGTATACTAGATATGTGTGTTCGAGTTCAACCGGCCACTTTAAACCAGCTCAACGGCAAAGTGGCAACGATATAGCACTAAATTTTGTCAACCAAACCTACTTTAACTCTGTATGCAGTTCAGATCATAAATTATCCAATCCAAGTATACCTTAAGTATAGAAAAATACGGTATGTAAAGCATAAAAGAAAACAAAGAAACGCACTGCTCCTTTTGATTGTACTTTGAATATCGGAAGTGGCCCTCTGATGAAAAGAAGAAAAATGAGACAATCGACGACCATACGACGACCATACGACCATTTGCCCCTTGGGCTTTTTATTTGATCGTAAAATGCAAATTTTTGACCAGTTACATGTAAATTTTATATAGGGGGGGGGGGGGGGAAAAAAAAAAAAAAAAAAAAAAAAAAAAAAAAAAAAAAAAAAAAAAAAAAAAAAAAAAAATTAAAAAATAATAAAAAAAAAAAAAAAAAAAAAAAAAAAAAAAAAAAAAAAAAAAAAAAAAACACAAAAAAAAAAAAAAAAAAAATAAAAAAAAAAAAAAAAAAAAAAAAAAAAAAAAAAAAAAAAAAAAATGAACCAAACCTAAAATAAAAAAAAAAATATAATTAAATTAATTTAAACATAAAAAAAAAAAAAAAAAAAAAAATAGGTTTAAAAAAAAAAAAAAAAAAAAAAAGAAACACTAATTTTTTTAAAAAAAAAAGAATTTAAAAAAAAAAAAAAAAAAAAAAAAAAAAAAAAATAAAAAAAAAAAAAAAAAAAATTTTAAAAAAAAAAAAGAAAAAAAAAAAAAAAAAAAAAAAAAAAAAAAAAAAGGATTAATTAGGAAAAAAAAAACTTTAAAGTTTGGCGCCGACTCATTCTCCACAAACCCAATAATAGACAACAATTGAGAGTGTTAAATGCAAATTGAGCAATCTCGTTGTTTCATTGTTGAACGATCGTAACCAAACTGGTTGTTTACTTTCAGCCTTTTATTTTGATCACATTCAATGCATTCAATACATTCTAATCTTACAATTAGCTAATGTTCTCTTTCAAATCTCTTAAACATAACTTTATTCGAATCGTTTTTCATCGATCACATCGCAGAAAGAGAGACTAGGAAACAAATGAGAATACCCGCTTTCGAAAAGATTAAATAAACAAAAAGTTCACACAGAACGGGAATAAAATAGCACCAAAATTCGCGAAAGACAAAAAGAAAAAGGGGTTTGTCTTTATAAATACTGACTCGTTCACAAAAGCCTAAACAAAAAATATTTCGAGAATTTCGTTGGTTTTTTTGTTAAATAATGATAAAATAAGGAGAGAAATCACCGGAATCGACTCGTTTTTCTGATTCAAAGCACATGAAAATTAAGGAAATGGAAAATATGGGTGAAGTTGAAGGATTTGAAGAATGAAGTGGCTCAAATGCTCAAATTTAAAGCTGTTTAAGCTACACAGATTGGGTAAAAATTAGAGTCCCATTTTCTTCAAACCTAATCAAAAAGATTTCTTGTCTTTTCACCAGACTCGACATTTCTCGAAGGGATTCATCGGACTGCCAATCGGACAATTGAACGCTTGCGAGAAGGCCGGGAAATTTTGAAGTGGCACGTTCACTCTGAATTGGATCATAAACAAAATTTTGGTTGCACAAAGGCATATGACCCTACTCTGGCGGCGGGAAAGACATGTGGCTGTAGCTCATTGATGGGACGTTTGCTTGGTAAGCGGGTCGCAGCCGAGCGGTGGCTGGCGGGTTCGAATCCCGGCGCCGGTCATGGTTCCCGTTTTTGTATGTTTTGTATTATTTTTTATCTGTGTTTGTATTTTGTAGTCTGTTTTCAACAAAATTAGACTCAACCTAAACATTCCGAGTGAATGCACATCGGTCTCCATAATGTAATCGATGGCTGATGGCTTCACGGCTTCACACCATGTCTGAAATTCTTGACCAATTATACATCTACTAGGCTAGGCTGAAAATATTGACGTTAAAATATTGTTGACCTGTAGCAAGACTTACTATTCGGTGCAGAACTTTCAGAAACAAAAAAACCAAACTCACATTGGCGAAAGCGAGGAAAAACATTTGCGAACTCGTGAAATTCTGTAATCCCGGCAATTGGCGATGATCGGAAACACGTTGTTGATGCAATTCATAGGCCTAAACCTTTATTTTCCTTTCATCACGATTTCCCGAACCCTATGCGCGACTCTCAATCCTCCATTGTCCGCAATATTCTCTCCAATTGTCAAGCGACCATCCAGCTGAATGTTTTCAATATTTTTCAAGATTTCTTTTTGCAAACTTTTCTTTCCGTTGTTGGCTCAAATTTGTTGTTATATTGTTGCACAAAGCATTGTTTCTTTGATTGAAAAACACGCATCGTTTCAGGCAACCACCACCGGCGTAAATTCCCTTCTTCATCGTATTGAGCGCCTAAAATTAGTGTAATAAAGATAAGATTTATATATCTTTAGATCTAAGTAATCTAAAGATATAAAAAAATATAGTGGTCGATATTAGGAATCTGTTTAAATTAAAGTTTAAATTAAAATTTAAATCTGTTTTTATCATATACTTAATGTAAACGATCTTTATCCTAATAACAAATCATTTTTCAGCTCACCTGACTCATCTATTGTTATTATGGTATAATTTTGCTCAACAAAATGCATACTTTCTGGTGTACTTGATTCACTTTTCAATACGAGCGACTTAATGATAAGTTTAGTGCACAAAAAGGTGTGCGTTTCTATTTTTTTTACGCATAAAGTTGTACTTAAACCTCAAACTGTACTTAAAGCTCAAAAAATGCAATATCAAAATCATTTTCTCATTAAAACAAACCAAGATCATCATAGCCATGTGTAATTTCGTGTCCAATTCCCATCCCAATCGCCCCATAGTTGATATATGTTGGAGCAAGCGGGACAAACATCGGAAACTGCAGGATTCCGGCTGGGAAAACTGAAGAAAGATCTTTATTTATAGATATGATCATATCAATTTGTTTACTAAATACTTACTGATTTCATTTCCATTGAAATAATGGTATGCATCGACGGCGATTACCGGTGAAACCCACTCGCTTTTATCGGAGGGTTTATGGAGACGGCGGAGGATTTCTCTGGAAATTTCACTCTACTCAGTTACAGTAAACTTACAGTAGCTTATACATTATTTAGATTTAGATTTAGAAACAATTTCAAATATATTATTGATTTTCTCGATTCCAAACTCTCCAACCTGACTTCAACTCGTTTCAAAGCAACCGCATTCTCGAAATATCGATCAGCCGATAGGCGAATCCCCGCAAACGGCATCAACACAGCCGTCTCGTTCAATAACATTTTTGGATAACCTATAAGATTTGCAAATCCCCAACAATCAAAAATTCCCTATAAGATTTGCAAAAAAAAATCCTCCAAGTCTCACCAATTTTGTGTCCCATTTTTTGCAATTTATGCAACGCGGCATTTCTCGTTTCATCATCCATCCAATCCGTATTCAAAAGCGTTTGCCGCATCGATTCCTTCAGATCAGCGATGAGTTCTTCCGCCTACAAATTTATGGAATAGCTTACTAACTCAAGGATTAACAAGGGAAAAATACTCTAACATTCTGCTCTACTGGTTCTCTCTAAAATAGCCGATCGTTTTCTTGGCACTGGCACAGAAAGCCGATCGTTTTCTTGGCACTGGCACAGAAAGCCGATCGTTTTCTTGCTTAGAAGTTACCGTCTTACAGTAACATTATTTCTCTATTTAAAAATAGTGTTAATTTAAATATAACAAACTGTTAACGAATGATCGAGATCAAAATGTTTATGGGCATAGGCGGTTGACAGGGGGACACCGAGTTTCTCTCTCGTTTGATGTACACAAGCTTCCCATCGGGGAACCTCTGAAGAACCCATGACTCGAACCTGGAAATCGAATGGATTAAATATTTTGATATTTAAGAATTCAATCTTAATTTCCAAACCTTAAACCGATCAAATGGCTCTCGGTATTTTCTTGGTAAAAACGAGTCAAAAGTCGAGACGACTTTCCACATCATATAATCAGAGATAATTCTGGAAAAGAATTGGTTTATAAGTGGAACTGCCTATAAAATTAATGCAGTATACTTCTCTGTTATCTTTTAACTGTTTTGTTTTGTTAAATTGTTAGTTTTTTCAGTGCAACTCACTGAATTCTCGTTTCCCCGATGAGTTGCGCAAGACGGTCAAAATAGCCAATGTCGAGCACGTTGACAAGCATCTAGAATTTGAATAAAATGTCAAAAAGATAGATATCTTAGATTTTAGACTATAGATATTCTACTATTTATCATTTCTCTAATCTATAATCAACTTTTATCCCCCACCGCATCATTGATCGGAGCCAAGTAACTGCGAATGTCATCGTTGAAGAGGAGATCCCAGTTGATCTGAAAAATGGAAATAGAAATGGAAAATAAAACTACCGTAATCCCTGTAATGTCTAGAATAAACGGTTTACGGTAACTAAAATAGATAAAACTATCACTAACTTTTTCGTAACGTGCTCGAAAATCGCCCAGAGTCATCACGTTATTGATTGCTGAGTGATTGCGAATGGACTCCGATCGGGTAAGCTAAAAAGAAATTCGAGTTGACGGTAGCAAGGATTACCTTTCCAGATTATCCACCTTTTAGAAAAGTAACTCACATTTGCGATCTGCGTCTCGAAGTAGAGAATATCATTGACATGTGGCTCAATCGCTTCCACTTCAGCACCTTGAAAATCATTGAAGTTTTTAAAATAAATCCCCCACAAACCCAGCAATTCCATCAAGTCTAACATATACTGTTTATAGAATTGGAGGTATTTATTCGTCTCCAGCGGCTCTTTATAGAATTTCTTCTTCTCGAGGAGAAGCTTTGGTGGGCTGAACTAAAATTTTTGGGGATTGTTGAGAAATCTTTGCTTTCACCATGAGCATATGTTGATTGCTGTCACTGAATGAGTTGTGCACGAAGAAACGCACGAGATTTCCCACTCCATACAAAGCAGTTTGACCTGGAAACACTTGTCTTTATTGTGTTGGCAGCTCTCTCCAAGTGGAATGGCACTGAAATGGCAGCTTTGCCATTCCAGCAATAGACAAGTATCTTCTAGTTGATCTCTAGTTTAGCTCAAAAACACTCCCTTTCTGGCTCACTGAAACTCTTTGTGTTTCTCTCACCCGCCAGCGTTTCCCAGTGAAAATTCAACTGCTCAAAGCGCGCATTCGTCAACAATTGCCATCCGCCTAACTTGGAGAGAATCTCGGAAAGTGGAAGGAGATCCTGAAAAGGATTTTGAATTATATGTAAATGCTTCTTAATAAAAAGCTTGATTCCTTTCCCACCTGTTCATCTTGTGTCTCCTCATCCATACACGAATCATAATAAATCTGCGCTAATCGCATTGCCGCCGATGCATTCTCGCGAGCGCTTTTCTCAAGAATATCTAAAATTTTTGCATAAAATCTTAACAAAGGGGTTATCTCTAAATTGGTTATCTCTAAATTTTGGTTATCTCTTTTTTTCACCTTTCAAATGTCGATCCAATCGGCTTTTCATCTCCGTTAACACTGTCACTTTTCGCTCATGTTCCGGAATTACCTAAAAATTTTTGAGAAACTTTGAGAAGAAAAACTTCTATTCAAAAGAAAGAATCAAAAACAAAAAACGTTTATTCAAATTCTATTTCTATTCAAAAACATTAAAATACCCGTGCGCTTGCATATTGTCCACAAGCGAACTCGTAAAAATCGGTGCATGGAGAAATCTCAGTGTTCATATTGTTGAGGTAGTTGGCGGCTAAAGAATTGATTGGTCATCGTTTATTTAGCCATTTCTGAAGTAATCAATATTGTCAACTGTCAACTGTCAATAATCAACTCCAATATTGTCAAGAAACAATAAAAACGAGCACCAAAGTCGTATGCCAAACGGCATGCGGTTATGTGATGAGTTCATCCCTCTGGCGCACAAGTGAACCAGTAGCTGAGAATTGAGTGACCCAGATTATCTGGGTTATACTGTAACTAATCCAGACTAACTTTTGTAGCATTTTAAAATCATTCGGTAGTCTTACCTAATCGAATACATTCCTCATTCATACAAAGATGCTCATCACCGGCATTGAAACGAGGAGGAATAGTGGGTGTCGGGAGTGGCGGAGAGGCCTTTGGACATTCTCGAACCGGTCCAAAAACGGCTAAAAGAGATCTATTAACCAACTAAATCTAATTTTGCCTCCAAGATTCTCAAATCCATCAGTGAAAATGGCGAACGCGGTGATACAAGAGATGGCAACGAGAAGAGTGATCAGGAAAAGCACGGCGAAGAGAACCGCCAAACGGGAGGCTCTGCAAATGGATTCATGAAGGATTTATTGAAGGCTGAGTTTGTTTCAATGTAGATTTTCTATTTCTCTAAAAATTTCGCTAACTTTTTGTGCTCTATCTTTTCTCTATTGACTACCAAGATAGTCATCATCGAGCCGACTTTTTGACTACTTGTCTTGACGCTCTCAAAAAAATCTAAACATAAGACATTTTAAACCCTTTTTAATGTTATTTTGGAGAAAAATAATTGACTTTTTTTAATGAAACAAATCGTGGTTGAATTGATGGACTTTTCTGGCTTTAAATGAAAGTATGAAAAGGAAAAAAAGAATAACCTATTATCTAATCCATCGATGGCTTCAAGATCATTGTTTCAATTGTATAAATTGAAAGGTTTGAGTTTTAATCTATCATAACCCCGAATCTCCATAATATATCTTTCTTTTGATCTTTCTGTCGAGAAACTCCGACACGATAGAATGCTCAGCTACCGTAGTTCAACTTAAATCTTCATCCTATAGATTTGATAGATCTTTTATTGCCCCTTTTTGTTTCATATCTCTAAGTGAGTTAAGGTAATCTTTAGGACTATGGTAGCAATCACTTTGTATCAGCTATTGTATCAGCTATTGTATCAGCATTGTATCAGCATTGTATCAGCTAGTGCACGGTTACGATAGCCGAGTTGCGCTTTAAAGTTCAAGTTCAGATTTATCCATTTGTTTCCAATAAATTCCCCTCAACTCGTGCTCATGGACAAATTCCATTTCAATTTTCCAGTGACGTCTTTTTTCATTCCAAGAAAATCAAAAGAAAGAGTTGAGATATTTCGGAAACAAATCCACCCAATCTCCGCATTCCTGAGACTCAAATTTCACAAAGACATGTGTTAGCGCTTTGATCTTTTTGAACACACAAATTTCAAGAGAATTTCCGGTCAGTTTTTGGAAAGAAAAAGGGCAAAAGAAGTTTATTTACTTTTAGAGTTGTTTTGTTGATGATGATTTAATTTCCAACAGTACTTTTAGTACAACAGACAACAGTACAACAGACAACAAACAACAGACAACAGTACAACAGGCAACAGACAACAGACAACAGACCGTATCCCAAAGAAAAACCCTTTGGAATAGCCGGCAAGATAAAACATAAAACACCTTTCAAATTTGTTAAGATAAATATCCTTATCTTGCTCGTCATACTGGATACTGTAAACAAAAGAACTATTGCTTGATCCAAAAGCCAGGCCAGATCTTAGCCTGGTTTACTGTAGCTTACTGTAGCTTTAGCCCTAAAAGTCTCTAATTGTACGCCAATCAAACCCGTCAGAAGTTAGACCTGAAATATCCTTGAAGATTATATCTTTAGCTTTAGATCATTAAAGAAAGGTAAGCATTGTTCTTTCGTATCAGGAAATTTGCATATTTAATCTGCAAAAATGAATCTAAAGTACCCGGTTATGATTCCCCTTTCTACTAGTCCATTCTCCTTCGTCAACCCAACAAACACAGGAATCCCCACAAACGATCAAGAGCAATCAGTGATGAAAAAAAAGGGGAAAGGAGAAAAAGAAGAGAAAAGAAGAAAAGAAACACATAAGCTGCGCGTGAAGATTCGGAAGGGGGATGATCAGTAAAGAAAAGGGAAAAGGAAAGAAGTGACTGATTGAAGAAAGAGAAGAAAGTGAAGAACTGGACACGGGGAAGTGCCAAAACGAGTGTCTGCTAGAGATAGATTGGGAAAGCTGTTCGATGTTGAAGAAAAGAAATGTGACAAATTACCAAAGGCACTACCTTTTTACCAAGTGCCTCTGCCATTCGTTTTCTAAAAGACATCAATTTTTGAAAACCCTTATCATACTGTTAGTCTACATTCGATCAACGAAATTTTCGCATCATTTAACCTCATCGAATGACACAAAAATTGAGCTGATCAAATGAAAACTAGCGGTTTGAATACGGTAGTTTTATTAAATAGATACCTTTTAGAAAACGTATTAGCTGAAAAAAATGCCTCAAATCTAATAATGATTTCAAGTAAAAGGACTTATATGTGACTTGATAACTTATCATTTTTAAGTTGAAAATTGAACAAGGTTAGCTTTAACTCTTAACTTTAAAATTCTACAAAATACCTTGAAAAGTCGGGTTGCCAGTGATTAATATTCGAATTCTCATTTAAAACCAACTCATTTAAACACTCGCCAAACAAAACGAGCTTTCTCGAGAGTCGTTTCGCGAACCGCAACCGGAAAGTGTTCGCCGATTTGGTGCCATTGATGATAATTATGTGAAACATTAATGAATTTGAATAAGATAAAGAATTCGCATAGTAAGTAAATGATTGAGTGATAACGATTGGAAAGAAGGGTGGGGTACAAAGAGGAAAAAGAAGCCGTGAACAAGTTGTGAACAATGCGGATTATGGGTGGGATGAAGAAGGGGGAAGGAGTACTTAATGAGACGAAGACTGGGGAAACCTGGGCAAAATGTGCTACTGGGTACTAGAAGTACCTATCTGACCCCTAGATTGTGATAAAATGACGTCATAGAATCTATGATAATAAATCTAATTTGATAGAAGCCTTCTGAAATCATATAGTAGGTGAGATCATATAGTAGGTCAAAAAATCTCTATCTAGCCTAAAATTTGCGACTAAATTGAAAGTTTAAGTCCGACTTTAGGTATACTATACCTTTTATACTGTAACTAGGCATATACCGTATTCTCTCTAATAGTAGTGCGCACTACTATTTTTTCAACCCCCTCCTGGACCGCAATACTATTAAAGAGTTTTATCATTTACCAAAGTAAGACAGATATAAGATTTGTTCCAAAAATTCTTGCAATTCTTTCACGTACTCCTTTGGCTCTTTTTGACATACAGTTGTGGGCCGGCGAGTTGACAATTTGTGTCTTGACAAACAACAAAAAGATGTTTTTGCACTTTGCACAACAATTTTAGATTTTTGCTTCATGTGAAGAATAATTAATAAATGAATAAAAAAAGCCTCACTTTTGCTTGCTTGAATAGCTTTAGAATGTCACATAAACATAAAGTCAAAAAGGTTTAGATGAAAAAGAAGCACCAGAAATTCAAATTTTCGAGGGTGCACTACTATTTTTTCAACCCCCTCCTGGACCGCAATACTATTAAAGAGTGCACCTCTATTAGAGAGAATACGGTATATGTTGTGAGAAGTCGATTAAACATGCAAAAGTTGAAAATTTCAGATTAATTTTACTAAATCCAACTCAAAAACAACCCCTAGTCTTTAACTTTACACTTTACAGATTTACGCATTTAGAAGTAGTGCAAGATTTAAAAATACAATTTCTTGTTCACTACAATAATCCACTACAGTATATAAAAGTGTTTAGGGAATAAAACTGAACATCTTTCAAGTTCGATATTTAGCTAAAGATAAACCTTATTCCTTGAACACTGCTTATTCTAACCTGACAAACAGACTACAGTATCCCCAAAAAAAGACAGACAGACAGACGGAAAGACAGACAGAAAGACAGAAAGACTACAGTATCCTACAGTAATCCTTGACTCACTTTGTCCATCCCGAGTGTGATCCGATAGTCGTGAATGAATAATCGGTCATCTTTCAAGGGGCTTTCAAGAAATGATCAACCACAACTCATAGCTGATTTCAAGTAAGTAAAGAATTTCAAAATGATCACCGAAGGGATAACCAAAAGATAAAGGATATGTGAAGGGTGTTCCTTGTGAAGAAAAGAGGGAAAGGGGGAGGCTCTTGGCAGGTCCTATTGGATATGAGAAAGGGGAAGAGAGCTCCTCTCTCTCTTCCCTTCACTTTTCGGGACACGTTCCACGGATCGACTGGATCCCCGATGTGCACATCCAAAGACACACAATTAGACAGACAAATGCACACAAAAGAAAATGGAAAAGATGAAGGCTTCTTGTGTCAAATGAGTACACATTTAACAAGTACTGGTGTGAAATGTGAGTCATTTAGATCACAAAAGCTATACTTTAAAGTATAGCTTATAGCTGTTTGAATTGGTGTTTGAAGCAAAAAGAACACTTTCATTAACAGTAATAACAACCCCGTTTTTAATTCTGGACAAGTTCGCTGAGCTGACTTCTAATTCTGGTAGGAATTTTAACTTTTCCTAGCAAAGTGCTATGATACGTTACTGATCATTTGAAATACTCAATGAAATCTAAATTTATTTCCATTCAAGCACTTCCACTCACTCACCTTATCGCTTGTGTATCCGACGTGACACTATCACTCCTCTCCGTACCCCCCATTTCGCTATCGGCCGCAGCCGTCGTCGCCGAACCGTAGTGCTTCCTGAAATCGTTTTTTTCTAATTTAGTTTTCGATTTTTCACATAATTTATCGGAATTTCAAGTGTTCAAGTGATCACTTGACTATCTTGTTGTCACCCCGAGGGGAGATCCCTCTGAACAAACAAACAGACGGATCTTCGCTAGATCTTTTTATCCCTGGGAATAAAATCTTGACGAATTTTGATAAATTTTGTCAAAAAATCAAAGAAAAAGCAAAAATCTATGAAAAAACGATGATTTTGTGGGAAATAGAAAATTTTTTTATGAGTGGGTCGCCTCTTTGTTGATTAGAGGATAGAAAGAAGGGGGACACTCAAAAATTGTACTCAACAAGGCCCAACACCTCAGCCAGCCCGAGTTCCGGAAGAAATGGGGAAAAAGTGCTGAATTTGTGAACTTTTATCAGTTTACATTAACTATCTAATATTCTACTGCATCTAGATCATGGGCTTGAGAAACTTTTTGTCCAAAACCGGTTTTGAAAAGATATGCAGAGAAACGTCAGCGAAAACGGCATACCTAGTTTTCAAATTTTCTTTGTTTTGACTCAAGATAGTTATCATAACTTTTCTGTGACTCTTGAAAACTGAAAACTTGAGAAAGTCAGACAGACAGAAAGACAGACAAACAGATTACAGTATCCCACAGAAATCCTACAGTAACCAAGTTCCAGTCCTACCCAGGATTGGGACTTACTGACTCACATCTCGTTTTTTGTTGATAAAGATGTTTCTAAATGGGCTTACGAATGCGACTAGTATAATCTCAATTCCCAAAGTAAAACCCACGTTCGTTTCCCTTTCGCTTGTTTCGTTTTGTTCGGATACAATGAGTAGGACGGATTCCGGTAGTACCAGCCAGTCCCAAAGCTTCGTCGCCGCGGGATCGTCATAGCAAAAGGCTGAAAGTTGAAATTTTCAAATACCGTAAATACCTAAATACAAAAAAATTATTTTCTAAAAAGAAGTTAGACTACGCGTCTGTACGATGGCGTTCTATTAGAGTATTTACGGTAAATCCTGAGCCAAAGGTTACTTGAAATTGCCAATACAGCGTTCTTTGTTTTCCATTTTTGACGATTTTCTGTTTTCGTATGTTGAGCGGTGTTTGGCTGGGGGAAGTTGGGGTGGAAAATGGACGCATTTCAGAGTATTTTGGTCTCATGGCATAATTGGGAATCAGTATTGAATTATGGAGAAATTTGAGAAAATTGAGAAAAACTAGAGGCTACAGAAGATGAAATGGGATGGGAAAGGGGAGTGGAGTAGATGGGGGATTATAGCAATTGACGTTAACTCCGTGAACCTCTTGGCATTGAAGTCGCGCACAGAAAGAAATGGGGAAAGGGGTGCGGGGAATGAAACTTAAGAATCTGGAATAAGGGTGGTCTGAAAGAGACCAGTCTCTCCGACACAGTCTTTCATAGACCCAGGTTTATTATGCTCGGGTCAATCCGTAATAATAAGCTTATTGAAAGGTTTTTCTTTTCCGTTGCCATTTCACAAAAGTTCATGGATTTATTAGGTTAATGTATAAGAAAAATTGTAAAGACTTATGCATTAAGCTAATATTTTTAATGCCAGTCTATCAATTTATGTTACAAAGCTTGCCATTAGTCCTTAATTAGTAATTGCCTTTAATTTGGGGTATGTTTACTATTATATAAGATTATAAAACTATAAAATAGCTTTGGTGGATTAGCTTATTTCGCTATTTTGGTGGATTAGCTTATGTAGAATAGCTTATTTCAAGCTAAAAGAAGATCTCCAGAGTGCTTATTTTTCTCGTTACAAGTTGGGTTTATGAACGGAAAGTTGTCGATAGAATGACTCGATTTAAGTCGAGACCTAGGTTCGTCAGATCTTTTTTTTGGTTTTGGCGATAGGTTTTTTCGGTAGGATGCAGTAGCTTACAATTTCGGTAGGATGCACTAGCTTTAATATAGTACTACAGTACCTTATAGTCAACAACACCCTAAAACTACAGTACCTTGTAATTTCGAGCTCCATTTCGCAAAATATAACGATAACGAGTAGCGGACACCATATTATAGAGTTAAAAAATATAAAATAGTCTGCAGAAGTTTCTCTAGCGATTCAGAGATCTCTTTTCATCAAAAGAAAGCAGGATTGGGCTTTCGATATCGGCCGAGAATTGGAGTGGAATAGAGAAAAAAAAGAGAAAGGATAAAGACAATGAAAGAAAAGGGTATCGTTTACATCCCTCTTTTCCATTCCATTCATTCACACCGATCATCAACAATACAATACAAGATTTTCACGTCAACCTCTACCCCTTTTCTTTGATTCAAGCGCTTTTTTTGAAAGCAACATGGCTCTTGGAGGATTGAGCTGGTCAAATTTCTTTGGAAAATGGTTTAAAGTTATGGTTTTAGCATGATTTTAAGCATAATGATGTCAATTTTTCTTCAATTCTCAAAATTGACTAGAATATGTTCCTCTCAAATGCTGCACTTTCTAAAATCTGTCACCTTTCGAAAGCTATCGTAATCTTGTCTTTACTTTTATTCAATCTATCCAGCTTTCTCTAATTCTGTGAGAGTTTTCAAAGGATATTGAAAAGATGGGGTAGGCTAATTTCCGCCATTTTATTTGCGCAACAGGGTCATTTGCGCAACTGGGTCGTTTGCGCAACTCGCCACAACTTTCTTCTAAGCCGGTCAATCTTTATGATTTTGGTGTCATTTTGTAGATCTCAATAAGTGCAATAAAATGAAACCAAAATCATAAAGATTGATCCACTTAACAAGAAGTTATGGCGAGTTGTGCAAATGACCCAGTTGCGCAAAAAAAATTCGCGCAAAGTAGCCTATCCCGAAAAGATATCAAAAGTAGATACTAGATTTGATATAAACTAGAGATGAAATTACTGCAAATTTCGAAACGTTTTAGAAAACACAATACTCGGTAGAAACAGGTTTTCAGTAGTTTATACTTATAGTACAGATAAACTGAATGGACCAATTATGAATGACCAACTCACCCGATAAAAGCTGTCGTCCGACAATGTCGCCGAATATAAATGACGATTAAATCGCACAGTTTTAACCGAAAGTTACTTTAGATGAAGATTTCTTCAACAAGCGATTCCCTTCTCTAAAAGGAGATTTGATCAAAAAGAAGTCAAGATGGGATCTCTCTTGAATAAACACTACGTGATGGTGTCAATGAGCACACTTGATCAATGGAAAGAAAGAAAAGAAATGAAAAAAAAGAAGCCCTTCAAATATTTCCCTTGAAGAGACCCTTACTCAAATAGTTTGGATCCTTTTGGAGGCTTTTTGAGAAATGTAGACAGTAACTGGTATTGTGTATGTTGAAAATGGTAATATTCTTTGTGCTATTAGAGTAATAGAAGATCCAAAATACAATACTACATGAAGTGTTGATTCATTTCGTACAAGAAAAGAAACTATGTTTTATCGCTGGTGAACGCTTTGCACAACTTGGAACTAATCACCCCTTTTCCCTTTTCTTTGCTTCTTTAGGGGGTTTAACACGCGTTCCGCACAGTCCGATTTAGTCGAAACGCCTTTAGCAATCTTTCTCAGCGCTTCTTCAGGAAGGAGAAAAAAAATCGAGAGTGGAAATTTCCAAAAAACACTTGACAAGCATTCTTTAGTATTAATTTAACAGTTCACAGTAGTTGGTATTAATTTTCCGATTTTAATAAAATAAGTAAGCTTGTTCTTGCTATGCTGTTTTGTGCGCTTTAAATCGTTTATTTTGTAAGAAAATATACTTTATTTACTTGTGAAATCAAGAATTTGCAAACACACACTCAAGCCATTGCTACATCGGGTCCATTTCGATGAGCTTTGTGGTGACGGCGTTCACATGACTTTGAGCGAAATTTGTGACCTGATTGTACAAAAAAATTAAGGTTTCCAAAGTAAAAAAATACCTTTGCGGCTATTATTCACATCGATTTCAGCTTGAATTTTCGGTTCGGTATCACTACCAGGGAGACAGATGATGCTGGTTCGGAGGTTCTGAATAAACATGCAATGAAATAAGTCTAATAATGTACCTTAGGCATTGTCTCGACGTTCACTTCTTTTGAGTTGCTAAACTAAAAACGGATTTTAATGAAAAGATATTGATTTATGACCGCAACGAGTCCCTTCTCATCTTCATTGTTTGGCACTGTTGCAGCGCGAGCTGAAGTCTAAAATAAACGATTAGATAAGAAGAGTTTAATGTGAAATCAAGAGTTGTGACAGAAATTTCAAAGTAATCGATAAATTTCGAGTAATTTGGCGGAGTAGTATTTTAATTTAGCACTAGCCTTATCGTGAGCACGTACAAAATACTCACATTGCCTCGAATAGTCTTTTCCGTAATGGGCTGGGCGGTGACAACAACTGTCGAGGCTCGGATTGCTGTTTCCAATGGTGGAGTAACTGTCTTGTCATCTTTTGTCGTTGTTGGAGTCGTCTAAACCAAGCATAAAAAGTTTTCAAGAATAAAATCATAATATGTTAGGAGTAAGATAAAAATCTAGATAAAAATCCAAACCTTCTTGGCAATTTGTTTTTGATTCGAAAAGATTTGATCGATAAACTCGCCGATGAACGGAGCACCAGGTCCTCCCTAAAAGCAATGAATCGTCAATGAAATTAAAAAATTTTGATAGAACCAAAAAAAAATATAAAATCACCCACTAATTCCTTGATTTTGAAATGAGCCACGTAGATAATGTAAGCCATCCCGAAGAAAACGGTGAGCGAGAAAAGCAGTTCTTCCATCTTCTGTGAGTAAATTTATAGAAAACAAGAAAAAACAAACCTCGTCCAAGAGCGAAATGCAGACCAAAAAACCGTTGTAGCTTTCCGCACCAAAATGAAAACTTTTCGTTTTTTTCTTCAAGATGTGGTATTTAAATTTTCAAATGCAAATTTAAACTTTCTTTCAAAATTTCAAACCTCTTACAATTTCACGCATTTTTAAGGGGTGCTAGCAAAAGCGTTAAATTATTTGAGCCAATTTCATTTGCGCCACGTATCATTTGCACCAAATTTGCACTTTTCAACACATTTTCCTACCAAATCTGATTGAACATTTCTATTTTTTTTCAGTTTTTCCTCGTCGACAATGCTCGCTCTTTTGCCGCCTTCGCCGGATTTGAAAATGGCATAAAATCGTTATAGATTAAAAAGCCCAATCGGAGACGCAAAAATGACTGTTTTTCCGGTCTTTATAGGTACTTAAACGTGTTTTATAATTGAAAACAGTGAGAACTAAAATTGTGAAGCAGAACACGGAAAAAAGTTGGTTAGAAGTTGGAAAAAAATTTTTTCATAGCGATTTTCATAAACGTAAATTTGGCGTAAATTTGATACACGGCGCAAAAATTTTTGACATTTTGAAATCTGAAAAAAATTTAATGATACGTGGCGAAAATGAAATTGGCGCAAAAAACCCGATGCTTTTGCTATCACTGTCGCTTTACCAACCTTATTAGTTCCAACAATCCTTTTGAACGAATGTGCAAAGAAGTCAAGCGATTTCTGCGCAAAAACAAAGGTGAGGCAAAAGGAGATTCAAATTCAGCACGCCTTCGATTAAATTCCAGGCAGACCATCACCCGTTGGCGCGCGAGCTACCAATCACTTTGTCGATTTTCAAGGGAGAAAAGTTCAATTAAAGGTTCGGTACCATATTAAACGTAGTTTTGATTTGAATTTCAGGTGGACAACGAACAGGAAGCCTACTTCACACTATACCAAGCCCAATGGGAATGCCCAAACGGAAAAACAAATAACACCTAACTACATGTACAGTGTAAAAATGGATTTATTCCAAAAACGAAATAAAACATCGTGTAAGTGAAGAATTTTAACAGGTTTTTACTCAAACATAACAAATATTTGCAAAATCTAAAGGAATAACAAAACAAAGTAGATAAACGCGTTTTTTTTATTGCTTGTCCATGTTACCATGTTAATATTGTCCAAAGCGGCCCCGGGGACCTCCGCCGCGCGCCGATCCGGTTCCGTGTCGTGTTCCATTCCAGTTCCCCCCGTTGTGGCCCATTCCAAGTTCCTCGTTGTACAAAATTTGTCCGTTCCGCATATTGGTATTGACGTTTGATATTGTCCTCCTATCATAAACAAAAACTTAGAATTCGATAAAATAAGAAACCTCATACTTGTAGATCATCACTTGCGGTTTACCTCTACGTGGGCTGACGAGAAGCACACTCTTTGGCGAAAGAGCGATTCCGGCAATGTACGGCTTCGCGCCCGGCTCTCCAAAAGTGTTGATTATGCAAATCGGTTGCAAGCGCTCATTGAATACCTAAATTTTGATTAAAAAATTAAGGAATTTATTTTCACAAACATGTAGAGAAGATCCCCGTGCATCACCAACAATTACCCAGCCTTTGTCGTCAATCTAAACATTTATACGTATGTGAAAGCAACCAAAAAATTCACCATGATTCCAGAGCCATAGGCAATATAGCCAGGCGTGTTTGGTTTGAAAACATCTTCATTGAAGTACTCGTGCCTCAACACAAGCTTTTTCGCATTATAATCGACTTGATAGGATCTGACCATGCATTGATTTACGTGTCCCGTGTGCTCTAAACACCTTCAATTATTTGCAAATCCACAAAAAACAAACTATATGTTCCAAGATCGGAGACTGCTAGGGTTCCTCGATGATAATGCAAAAACGAAACATTTCCAAATTGTAGCATTCCCAAGCTGTGATTGAGATGAAATAAGGGCCTTCCATAGGTACACGAAAATAACAACTAAAACAGATGCAACTAAGCCTAACAAGTTTCAATAGGATACCTCATCACGAGCTGACTTCTTCGCGTTGATGCAGTGGATCTTTTTAGCGCCGGATTCATACGTAAAAAGCACTTCTCGCCTGGTATCAGCGGTAAGTCCTGAACGAAAAATGAGTGAATAACTGAAGAAAGATTTACCCCGAAGCCTCGTTATATTGTTTTTCTTTCCGTCGAATATTAAATTGTATACCCATGCTGCCTCGTACGAGCAGCCAATTATTTCGTCTCCGGCAATTACAGCGTAGCGAATTCCGGGGCTGACTATGGCTACCGCTTCAAGTGGCAACAATCCCGGGTAGGAAGTAGAAGAAATGAGATTGACACCGGCAAATAAGCCTTCATCGTTGGTGTTAAAGAGTGACACCTATATATTTCATAATGGTCAATTATCAAAAAACGACTAACCAAATTTCTTCCGCGAACAGCCACAGCATAAAAATCAGACGCAGCATCGTAAGTTCCCGAAAATCCGATGTCGCCTTCATTAAAGGTGTGCGTGTGAATTTGTCGCAGATGTCGTCGTGCTGAAAAATAACAGAGCTTTATAAATGGTTAAGATATCAACAAACCTGTTTGAGTGTCCTTGTCAATTTGAAATAGCTTTTCAAAGTCCAACGGGGCTAAAGTTAACTAGTAAGTAGCTTCAAATGAACTCTCACCATCTTCTTGGTTTGGCTCATCCTTGTCCTCCAAATGATCTGGAAAGTTGGTCACAGATCCATTGTTTGTTTTCGCGCTTGCTTCTTGGTGTGATGTTAATTCAAATTGACTAAGCGCCTCTTCGAATAGGCCAAAATTGAAGTTGCCTTTGCATTTCTTATGGGTTTCAGCTTCTTCCTTTTCCTGTGGGAGAGGAGAGCTCGTGGAAGAACTAAAATACCAAAATTATCGAAAAAATTGAAAAGTTCTATCCTTTTAAGACTACCAATTGACAAAACACGACCCTATCCACCTGGCAATAATAGAAAAATAAACTTACCTTCCGGAAACATCGCAATTCACTTCTCGAATTGTATCCCAAATGTGTTTTCTCCATCCCAAGCCCGCACTTTTTGGAGAATCTTCGTTAATTCGTTCCATTGATCTAAAGAATCATAATTAATGTAAGATCCAGCTAAAGTAATATTAGATGAAAAAGGAAGAACCTTAAAACGCATTGTTTGCATACAGATGAACAAAAAAATGGGGGTACTTGTGGGGTTGGGGATCACTTTTTTTGCGTAGATTATGAATTTCACAGTGGGAGCTTGAGAAAATGCGCTTTAAACTGACACGCGGGATCCGAAGTCGCCGCCTTTACAGTGTACTTCACACTGTAATGTTCCTATAAGGGCTCAAAAGGAGCTTCATGAGCTTTTTCCTGTCCAAAGAGTTTTTCTGAAATAATTTAGAGTCCTGCGTGCAATTTGAGTAGAAAATTGGTAATCTACACAAAAACTGCCCTAAAAAAGCCCTTTTGAAGAAAAAAGTACCCCCCCCAGCCCCAAAAGTACCAAAAAGGGATAGATAAGTCAAATATTTTATCAAATTTATTATTTATTTATTTGCCTTAATGCTTAGGAAAACGATTGAGCGCCCCTGAAACATTGAAAAATGTTTTAAATATGACTAAATGGATGGGTAACACAGAAAATAAAACAAACCAAACAACCAAATGAATTTTTCGATTGGGAAATCCGACGGAATGCGAAAAGTTGTAAAAATTTCCGCTGCACAACTGAATATCTTTAAATTTGTGGGCGTAAATGTGGATGCAATTTAGAAAACAAGTTTATTTTTTACGCAAAGAAGGGTTTTAAACACTTTAAACATCTAAAACCAGTTACGAGATGTTTTCTTGACAAAATGGGATGGATTACCATAATAATTGTAATGGTAGCGTCCTCCCCAGACTCGTAATCTAACTTTTTTTTAGAAAATCATTTTTTTCCCAGTTCCTAGATTTTTCCCAACTACACTTTTGGTACCAAAAAATACTAGATTTCAAGCAGAGGGGCACTTTTTTTCGCCAAAACCACTTTTCCTGGGGTAACAGCGAAACTCAAAGAAACTTCGAGAATCAGGCGATAGCCAAGGAGCCACGTGCCTCTAAGGTAGGCAGCCACGTGCCTCTAGCCAAAGCCTAGGCAACTATAGGCGCCTATCATGTTATAGTCAAAAACCCCTGAGCGCACAATATCGGCTCATTTGACGAAAAAAATTTTGCTCCCCCCTAACTAGTATAGCCCCCAAAAATCTTTATTTTTTGCAGAATTTTAAAAATTCTAAAAATTGCGTTTTGATTAAAAAACGACCCTAAGAATGCGATATTCGTACTCAGCGTACTCAATTACGCCGGGAAAAGTGGTTTTGGCGAAAAAAAAAGTGCCCCCTCACAAACCTTCTTTTTGACTTTGGCAAGAAAGTTCGTAGAAAAAGTTTGCACGGTGATTTCTCAAAAAACAAGCCATGGGAGGGGGCACTTTTTTTTTTCGCCAAAACCACTTTTCCCGGCGTAATTGAGTATGCTGAGTACGAATATCACATTCTTAGGGTCGATTTTTAATCAAAACGCAATTTTTTCCAAATCTTTTTATTGGCACAAGTATGTAGCAAAGTTTATTTCCATAAGTAAAACTGTTAATGAAAAAAAAAACAAAGAGATCTCAGAAAAACGTACACGTAAAGTAATAATAATTTTGAAAAATATATCAAAGTAGTCGGCGGCGGCAATCCTTTGCTCCACAGTGGCAAACAATTTTCACTGGTTGTGTCGTTTCGTCAAACTGGTACCCATAATCCCAACGTAATTCCTACAAATATCAAGTTATTTATTCGGCTAGCCAATTCAAAAAAATACCTCGCCGGCTTTGATGAATCCCCGAGTAAAAATTGCGAGCCACGGAAGCCGAATGTCATGTGTATCTATGAACACATGTTGAGCCCTCACATTTGGATCGCAGCAATGATTGAAAAAACTAAACAACAATTTAATACAGGTAAGAATAAATAGCAATACCGCCCAATATTTCCACGTTTCTTCGCATCAACAACAAATAAGTATTTTTCCCCAAAATATTCCTCCATATCCCAAGTATCACCAAAGCCTTCTGAAAAGGGGATAAACAGCTCTAGTTAATACTAAAAACTTGGTTGTTGTTGCGATGCAGTCGTTTGTAATCCGTCGATTCTCTGCTTCTTTCTCTTGTTTTTATCAGAACTATTATCGGAGCAGTAACCATCAGAACTTAATGATAAATTGATAATAATTAAGCAAAAAAATGCCCAACTCTGAATTCCCTTCCAGCACCATCAGAAGATTCGCTGTCGTCTTCTAAATCCGCCATTCCTTTATCCTCCAATAAGTCGATTCCTCCATCTCGTTTTTGGTTTTCTATCTAAACAATTCAGAAAGCACTATAAACGTTTTTGGAGAAAATACCACATCGACTAGATCGAGCTCCGCAAAGTATTCATCTCCACGATCTTTCAAGTTGTCAGCCATATGATCGGTTAAGAGAGCGCCATTATAATTTGAAACAAAATATCTAAATTGAGGATTTAAAAACTAATTAACTAAAAGAAAACACCCATTAGGTAAATCTACTAGCGTACGAACGCCCCATCCACATTGAGCTGTCTTGAAAAGCTGAAGCGGTACTTTGATTTGTTGTTGAGCGACACGATTGAAACATCTAAAATTTCATAAACTCGCAATAATTCGACGCTACCTTTTTCTCCAACAACTGCAGGCATCGTTGCATTCGTAAATTCCAGAGGGAACACGCTCGTTGGCACGCCGAAAGTCATAGCTAAATGCCGTTGCTTTAGTTAAATTCTCTGTGAAAAATCACCCTCTGCATTTTTCGGAAGGCCGAAAATCTCTAGCCATTCGCTCCACGTTGGTTTTCGTAAGAATTTGGCACTCACATTTCGAAGCATCTCGGCAATCATCTAAAATTTGTTTATTCACGATCAATAAAAAAAAAATCTTACCCGTGCAAGAACACCCGGTGCAAAACTCTTTCCTAGCGCTCGAAAGATCTACTTCATCATTTTCCGGAAAACGTTTAGCGCTATATTGAATCTAAACTTTTGCCATTATTTCACCATACAATTAGAGAAATCTACATCAGGGAGAGGTCCTGAATCAACAGAGTTTACTACTGTGATTGGCATGGCTTCGAGTCCTTGAGTAAAATCGGCAAGCACTTGGTCTCGAGCTTCTACTTTGATAATTACATTGGTTCGCAGATTGGGCTCAAATGCAAAAAGATCAATGGTTAGTTCGCACATGGTTATCTAAATTATCTAAATGTACAACAACTACACATAAAGCTTACATTTAAGTAGTCTGCAACTTCATTCAAAGATGACAAGGGGCACCCACAAGGTCCACGATAAAGAACAAGCGGCCGCCGTCCACGGCGACCACCGACTGTTGGTTGAGCAGCCTTGTAGACCTTAACTTTTAGCATTAAATACCGCGACGCTAAGAGTCTCAATCCAAAAACTCATCCCACCAAGCGCTGCCATCCACACAGAAGAGGAATATGGAACGGACTGACGCCTTTAAAATTCGATGAATCTTTGTTGAGGTTCTAAAATCATAGTAATTTTTTTAAGATTGATAAATTTACTTTGAGACAAGCACTGGAACAAGTCATATGATAGCTACCCTCATGAGAGGCTACCGTCGATAATTCGTTTGTCAAAGTTACCACATCGAACTAAAGTAAAATCTATATCACAATCAAACATCATTTGCAGAAAAACACTAGAGACAGATTTTAAAAAGCCAACCTTGTTCATATTGCGTTTTCGCTCAGCAAGTTGTTCTGCCGTATATTCCGAAGCGAATTGGTGTGATTTTTGAACGGCTGGAACCATCCCTGTGGGCGCTGAAGTTTTGCGCACCTAATGTTTTAGTAACTGAAAGCTATGATATGCAAACATACGGTATTCGGATGTCTTGTCTTTCTTGCATCGTTGCCCCGGGGTCGATCTTCAAGAGTATACAGCGGCACAGCACTTTCGAGCATTGATCGTTGATGCCGAGAGCGGCCACTGGTTAGATTTGACACCGCAGTTTGACCGAGTTCAAGTTGTTTCAAGCCTTGCTCCTAAAACAATTTGTTAATACCATAGTTTTTAAGTAATTCAAAATATTATTTACAGATTTATCTGCTAGTTATAACGCCTTACCACTTGATGGAATCTATCAGATCCTCTATAAAGCCTTTCGTCGAGATGGTAATGACTCGTGCAATTACGCACCACACAAGTAGCGCCGCTTCCAACCTAAACTTTTCGATTTGAAAAAATCTTTTTAAAACCAACGCTTTTTCCAAGTGGGGGAAATCTCAATAAACACATGTGACGATCAATATCCATCACAATTGCTGACCATTGAGCACCATCCCTGTTTAGAATTATCAAAACGATCGATGACGTGGCTTACCTATTCCTAACAGCAATTCTAGTGTTTTGTTGAGCATCACTCTTGCGCAGACGGACAAGACCCCAATCTGGATAAGCGTTGAAGTAGAGATTGAGAAATTCCCGCTTTTTGTTGCTGTTTCTATAAAAAAGTATGATGCCTTCAAAAATTAATTTGTACCGGACTAAGCTGCCAGCTTTTCGTTTGTCAATTATTCCCCGTTCCACTGGCTGAAGAGCCATAACTTTGATAACATCGCGCTTCACATACTCGTCGAAATTATCGTCAAAGAAAACCAAAAATCAAACAAGTGTTATGAAACCAGCATGAAAAACCTACCAAATATTCGTAGTTGTGCACACTTGACGGCCTATTCGAGATTGTTCCAGAGAAATATCCATCACCAGGATATTGTTGTTTTGGTGGATTGGGATGTCTTATCTGCAATCAATTCAAAATACATTCGCAGAAATTATACTGACCTTCGCACAAACACGCATTCCCTCCACAAAATCATCAGTGGTCTTCAGTTGAAAATAGGCCATATCTTCAATGCCGACTTCTTTCTGAAAGAATAATTTTAGCAAAAACAATGCTCAAAGCTCACTTTAACCCTGTCGGAGATGAATTCGAGAATGTAGGTAGATCCAAACGTCTAAAC